ATGGAATGAAATTCTATGGTATGGTATGGTATGGTATGGTATGGAATGGAATGGAATTCTATGGTATGGTATGGTATGGTATGGTATGGAATGGAATGGAATTCTATGGTATGGTATGCTATGTTATGGAATGGAATGGAATTCTATGGTATGGTATGGTATGGTATGGTATGGTATGGAATTCTATGGTATGGTATGGAATGGAATGAAATTCTATGGTATGGTATGGTATGGTATGGTATGGAATGGAATGGAATTCTATGGTATGGTATGGTATGGTATGGTATGGTATGGAATGGAATTAAATTCTATGGTATGGTATGGTATGGTATGGTATGGTATGGAATTCTATGGTTTGGTATGTATGGTATGGTATGGTATGGTATGGTATGGCATGGTATGGTATGGTATAGTATGGTATGGTTGGTATGGTATGGTATGGTATGGTATGGTATAATATGGAATGGAATGGAATGGAATGGGATTCTATGGTATGGTATGCTTTGGTATGGTATGGTATGGTATGGTATGGAATGGAATGGAATTCTATGGTATGGTATGGTATGTTATGGAATGGAATGGAATTCTATGGTATGGTATGGTATGGTATGGTATGGTATGGAATGGAATGAAATTCTATGGTATGGTATGGTATGGTATGGTATGGAATGGAATGAAATTCTATGGTATGGTATGGAATGGAATGGAATTCTATGGTATGGTATGGTATGGAATTCTATGGTATGGTATGCTTTGGTATGGTATGGTATGGTATGGTATGGTATGGTATGGTTTGGTATGTATGGTATGGTATGGAATGATATTTATTTCATATAGATTTGCCTTATTTTGATGCACAAATAGCAAAGAGTCTGTTAAAAACATCATAAGGATAGTCTTGAGCCCAAACAATTTCTGGCCCTGAAGTGTATCATTGTTGAAGTCATGGGACGACTGAGTCTGAGGTGAAGGCCTACTCATTCCCAGTTTGAATAAAAAAAAGTCAAGAACAAAGTCACATTCCTTTAGTGGCACTTTCACAAGTCCTGGAGAGGGTTGATCAAGTTCATCTAGAGTCTAGTCTAGTCTAGTCTGTTTGGTTGGTAATTTGAGGCAGCGTCCACGTATATGTAACGTCAGGTTAAACATTGCACTTCAAAACATTACGACAGAATCCTAATAGTCTGCTGTGTCAACTAGATCACTTATGCAACAGCTGTGTGATAAAGTCTACTTTCCTGTTCATTATAATGCTTATATACCTCTCTTTGCAGGGTGACTATGTCAGAGGTAGTTAATAAAAGTTTATCATGAAGCTTAACGATATTACATGAGTGATATTATAGACTTCTTAGTTCAACTTCGATTGTTGTCATTTTCTGAAACACCCTGCAGCTTGAATTGCTACTCCATCAAAATGTCTGGTGTTCTATCACAGTTGCACAACCAGCTGAAAAACAGAGAAGCACATGATCTGCCTTACACAAAGAAGGAACCCAATGAAGGTCTCTTAGTGGATAAACATCATGGTCTGTCAAATACAGGCAGTGTTGCCAAAAATCCTATAGTTGTGATGAGTGTAGACATTTTTCATTAGTCAGATGCTGTGACCAATTTTAGTCAACTTTAACTAAGCATGTGTGGCTGTGTTGCTTCCAACACTCAGGGAGATTTAAAACCACAATGAGGTTTGTCAGCTATAAAAAAAACAATATCAACAATACAAATGTGTCTTTGTTTAAAGAACAGCCATATCTGATCACACCTGCCATGCCTGCATAATCAAACAGGTCTGTCTGCATTCCTTTAACCTTCTTTAACACAAGAGAACAAAGGTGCAGCACATACACACAAACGCAGGGTAAAGTAGCAAAAATGCTACACGTGTGTTGCAGCATCAGCATGAATGTTGTTGTGGAAAAACAATCACAAGAGCCTTGTTTGTCGGATTTTTTCGAGACAGCTAATCAGCATGGCTCAAAGAGGAGTACAACGCTTTAAGCATGGACACTTCTTTAGATCACATGCTGAGGAGGCAAATACAAGTTCTGTACCAAAAATCAAGTTATTACGCAACAATTCAATATTCACCAGGGTCAATATTTTAAAAGAGGAAGGTGCAGCAGAGTTATCCTCAATCTGCATTGACTTACAAGACTGAATACTGCTAGAGTCATAGGAACCGGCTATTGATTGATCAAATATAAATATAATCATAAATCTGTAAAAAAAAACATGCCAAACTGTTTGGAGCTAGTAAAACACTCTCCACTGTTCACAGAGCCCACACATGCATGTTTATGAGGTCTGGTATTCATACACATCTGTCTGAAGGAGGAAGAGATCATTGGTAGTTTTATTTATGGAGATTCAGTCCCTACAACAGATGCAAATAAGTTATTAGCTAACTCTGGTGCAATTACATTTAATTGTGCGCTGCCCCTGAAAAAAAAAAGAATGTGGGGGGAGTTACAAAAAAAAAAAATCCCCAAAAAGAAACCTGAAGAAAGACAACAGAACACAGCCTCATTTACTCACAATACTTTGGAGATGTAACTGGTCAGGGTCCCCAGGCTCCTGGAGGGCTTGATGCTGCCAACTGAGGGGCTGGACTGGTAGCCATCTTCGGGTCTTTCCTGTGCAGAGGGTCTGCAGGACAGCCTGGGCAGCTGCAGGGTCCCTGAGAAGACCCTCTTCACAACACATGTGATGTAGGGGTTCTGGAGAAAGTCGACATAGGAGGGCTGCTCCGAGGAGTCCCACTTTCTCTGGGTGTTAAAAAATAAATATATTTATAATCAATCAAAGAACAGCATGTGACAGAGCTTATATGAGCATTGAAAGGAAACAGCAGCCTTTTTTCCATTCAACTCGACACTCTGAAGTAAAAATGTGTCTTATATTTTCGGCAGTAATAGCTTTGATAAACTAGTGGAGTGATTTATCATTAAGGACTTTAGATACAAAAACAATTCACAAAAATAAAAAAATCTACTTTTATGTTTGTCTTGGACCTTATTGCCAATGGAACAAGAATGAAGACATTATTTTTTTATATCTGAAACTAGAAGATTCTGAAATACGAAGAACAGATCAAAGTTTGAACTTGCCAAACTTCTGAGATAGAAAGAAAAAAAGTCATTGGGATCTTAAGGTACGTCTCAGACAGGGTAGTTTTTGTGCTGTTAATGGAAATATGATGAGCCTCACACAAAGACCACTCAGGTTTTATTTTAGGAAGGTTTATCAGATTTCAGGTCCTGAGACTCAAACACTTTCACCTTTGACACACAATAGACGGTACTCAGAGTGAGGATGTGTTTGGGAGTTAGCTCTTGGGGCATCTCTTTTTTAGCGTCAGAACAGATAACAGGCCATTGTATTCCGATTCATCCCGTGACATTTTCTCTGTAGCTGCTTGGGACACCTTTACACAAACAATCATCAACACTCTCTGATATGATTATGGAACATTTCTGACCAGGCTGAACCAGAATAAGAGCACACTGAATCTCCTTTTTCAATAAATCAGCAACAAAAATACTCAATTGCTGGTAAGTTGTGTTCGACAATATAAATGTCCTGTTAAGGGGTTCCCAAACCTCATTTGTTTAATCGAATAAACACACACTATCGCTGATAACCTGAAATTGCATTGGGCTGAGCTAATCTTAACACACAAGGCCCCATTAATCCTCACCACACGAGTTCAGAGAAAAAAAAGCTCAGAACAATACCAGTGTTATTACATAATCTGAACATGCAGATCAATCACATGACAATAATCTAATAATAATTATCGCCAATGTGAAACCACTTCACAGTTTTCATTTCACTTTTGAAATATAAATATTTTACAATTAAATTACGTTTAAATTATAGCACAATTAAGATTCCTTTTTCAACCTTACCTCAGTGAAGCTGAACAATTTAGATGAGCTATTTCTCCTCATGGTCATACTGCTACTACTTCATACTACTACTGGATCATGGGAACAAGACTTGTGTGAAGGAAATACCACAGAGGACAAAGTTTCCACATTTAAGATCAGATATGAACTACTGTGTGCAGCACCAATACTTACATAGACTAGATAAACAACTATTTCCCCACCCCTTCATAAACTCTGGGCAGTCATTAGCACACTATTAAGATTAATCTGCTGATTCATCACATCAGCATACATACACTTTAAAGTAACTTCACTAAAAGGGGATTCATGTACATCTCCAGAACTAGCCAGTTAAAATGGGGAGAGGGGGTATTGAGTCTGCAGATGTTAACTGGTGCTGAGACTGGGGTGGTAGAGCTGCCTGCATGACAGGTCATTATTCATGTGTGTCTATCTGACTGAAGAATCAGTGGTAATCACATTTCCAGACCTTCAAGATCAGCCAGACTCTGGCTTTAATCAAGCTGCTGCCTACAATCTTTAATAGCAACAGCTTTTTACAGTGTAAACAGAGCTTAGATTGATTCAGTATTTTTGACTGGATGATGGCCATAATAAACATAGAGAATGATGATACAGAGATGTTAATGTGAATTTCTGTAGCATTATTTGGAACTTGTTTGCTTATTTAGACATGTATGGTGTGATGTGTTGTATACCTTATGTTATTGAAGGTTATACTGAAAGTGTACAACATTCCTCAGAATGATTTGGATGACCATACAGGGCTCAGATTAATAAATTAATGATCATATACATTTGAATACAGTGTGACCTCATCAGCAGTTATTTCTACAACTTTAATGTACTGGTACATGAAATGTGATATTTGTTCCTCTTTCGTTTCAACGAAGAACAGGAGACTCAGTGTGGTTATGAAAAATGGCGCCATCTAAAGGACAAAAGGAGCATTTTCTTTGACCTATCTAAAAAAAAAAGTCACTACTACAAACTACATCAGTGATTCAAAAGGATCTGAAAAAGCATTCATGGTTTCAGTGGGTGAGGTTTCAATAATGACACGTTTTTTTTTTTTAAAAAGAAAACTGTATTTTCATGTTGTGTATTTTAAAGTGAGGTGATTGCTTTCCCTTTATAAAAAAAAACAAGTTTGTAAAATCACAGTTACAAAAATGTTTCAGAACATTATTCAGTGTTCCTTATTTAGTGGCCACACCTGGAACAGAGCAAGCATATATGTGCAGAGCTGCTCCTTCACTTATTGTGGCAGTAGGTCTTGTAGCTTGTCTTCTGGGGCCCTCCACAGGCTGCAGGCTTGGTGCCCTGGAGACATGAAGAGTAGAGGTCAGGGGAGAAAGCAAACTGGAAATCACTTTCACAATTACAAAAGGAAAATCATATTAAAAAAGGACGAGATGCAGAACACAGAATCAATGAATAACTTAGGAGTGAATCACACTAGCTGTACCTTGTACATGCTGCAGACCAGAGTGAAGAGGGAAGTCATAGCCTTATCCTGCAGATCTTCTGTATGCGCCTGCAAATTTATAAAATTAGAATAAAAAGTAGTAATTAGTAAAAGACAGAGGTACATAAGCTGACTTTACCCCCCCAACAGCAGATCTACCAGCGTGGATAAAAATTACGAAAACAACAAAAAAGGGAAGTGTTTTGGAATAACCGTATCAGTGAAATTGGAGTTGGCAGCACCAAATTTATAACTTTACTTAGTTTAAAGATTACAAACAGTTTGAAAAAAGTATCATTGTTGGGTACTGACTTGCAGGTTGACTGCCTAAAACATCATGCTGTGTATAATGGATAGAGATACAGGTTCAAAAAAAAAAAGAGTCAAACAGACAAAAAATGATTGTTACTGAAAATCACAAACCTTTGGCTTAAAAACTAAATCAGCAAGTTTGTTTAAAAGCTAAATATGAGTGAGCTTTGCAAAGGTGGCATTTAACGTGTTAAGTGTTGGCTCTTAAGCTGATTTTAAAGTCATTAAAAAGTAATGTGATGTCATGAGCTGTCTGTCACACCATCTGGAGGGAGCCGAGGTTTGATTTTATGGCAGTTGTTTTTGGTAGTAGTAGATACGGTCTAGATAGAGACTACTTTTTTCTTCATGGTGATGTAAAAATTAAGACATTTCAGACCACTTACCAAGGAAGTGTCCTCTTCAGCAAAGACTGCTACTTCTGATTTTCTCACAGTCCAACATGATAACTCCCTTCACAAATGCTTATTAGCAAATGTAGGATTATTTTAAGAATGCCAGATAAAAAAAAAAAAAAAGTACAACAGGGGACCAAATAACAAAATCCCAGTTCAGATATTTTATTACATTTTCATGATGAATTCATTGTAACATATTGTGAGGTCTTCTCCCCTTATCTTGCCATGTGCTCACAACAACTGTTGGTGAATGATTTAAATATTAAGTTTCTACATGGAGCATTTATATTCTTTTTATGACCAATGTTAATTTTCTGTTTAAGTCTTCAATGTCTACTCAAGCACACTTGGTCCCTTATGAACTTTGCTCAGTCTACCAGACCTGTGTTCTTATATGTCTGTCAAGTGTGACAGAAGAGAGATACGCCATGCTCTGTTCGGTACAATTAGGATTATTCCAGGGTTTAACAGGTGATGTTTGTGTTTGATGATTACTCCAAGTTTGTTCAGAGCAAATGAGAATTTGAGTTTAATTAAGAATGGTTAAAATTGTTCAGATTCCAAATGGAACAGACATCTTGTATTATACATCTCTGTCTGTGTAATTTTAAAAAGATCCCCCACTTGACGACTTAAAGGTGCAACTGTTGTGATCCGCTCATCTCTGGCGCCTGCTTCACACTATTGACAGGATGAGTTGTTTGTCTTTGTTTAGTGTGGAGCACTGAGAGGGAACTCCAGTTTCAAGTTATCATTCCATTGATCTTAGGTTGCAAAGTAGCAGCTGTCGTGCTTTGCTTTAGTGTTACTTTGAGAGAGCCACACACACACACACACATCAGTCACAGCTCTCTGTTAGTTACAGGTTTAAGATTTGAGGCAGATTCAGATCACAACATCCCCAAACATATCACTAGAACATGATGTTCATCAACACACAAGAGCCTTACCCCGTTGATGGTAATCCATGGCACATAATTGTGAGGAGGGTTCAGGGCCTCAGTCATCAAGGCGTTCTGGTGCATCAGCTGGTTTCCCACATCCCCTTTCACACAGCCCATGACCTTATCCCAGTTCAACTGAGGACTATAGAGTGCAGCACACTAAAAAAAAAAAAACAATGGAGGGAAATAAACACAACTTCAGTAGTGGAATAATATAGTGTTGGCAGCCAGGAGAGGGACAGACATGCCAAATAAACTCAAGTTTCTTACGCTCTGTGCTGACTTAATCACATCAGTGGAGGACTCCATACAGAAGATAATTGGGAATGCCATTCGTGTCATGTTCAGTAAACAAGTCTGCAAGGAAAGTATAGATGACAACAATTAACACTGACATTGCAACAAGAAAAGGCACACTCCACTATGGGCCAGATTTACTAAGCTCCCAATTAAAGAGTACTAAATTGCGTGTTCACTCCAAAGATTTGCACGTTTGGTTGGTGGGCGTTTTGCAAAATTTGCGTGAATGAACATAGGCGGTAGTATTTAATCTCAGAGCTGGGGGAGAGACGCGCGACCCGAGAAAAAGGAAATCCCCAGTTTAAAATGTAATGTTGGCGAAAAGAGGGAAATAGGAAGACATAAATGTCAATATTGAAATTCTATAGAATTCAGAGGCTGTGAATGTTCAGTTTTGTTTGGATATATGGCAACAATAGCCTGTAGTTTAATCATGGTGTCTCTCTTAACAATTAGAATATTGAATCAAATTAAAAAATAAATGCATGCCATTTATTTTTCTGTCATTTGAAACATGTAAACACAAACGCAATCTTTATGCCTTGTTTTGTTGTGCCTATGTCTCCTCCTAACTTCAATAACAGCAGCCTGCTGTGTGTAACGCTGGTCTCTTGGATTAGCACGTTCCTTTCAAATTCAGACACCGTTACAATCACCGCATTTTTTGTCAGGCTTGGTAAATCGCAATGCGTGTACTAACTTAACTTGTTTGAATTTTCTCCTCCCAGTATCTTGCACGTTAGGGCAGAAACGCCCCATGTTGCATATTCATTAAGGCAAACGTACTAAAAGGACAATGCGTGTTGTTTTTCTTATTTGAAAGACGCAATCCTCATTGCACGCCGTTAGTAGATCAGATAGCACTTTTTTTTTTTACTGGTGGCATCAAGTTTGCACACGTTTTAAGACATGCAAACCTTTAGTAAATCTGTCCCTAAATGTATAACAATTTATTTTATATACTTAGTATTTTCTCTGAGAAATTATTATGCTTTCATAACACCCAGATTTGCAAGAATCCACAGTGTGTGCTCTAGATTTTGTGCTACTATACTAAAGCAGATTACCTGGTTACAAATTTTAGTTACAGTATTACTCAGAAACATTCTTATTGCATGCATTTGGGCTGTGACTGTACCTCAATCATGTTGCCCAAACATTCCTGTTCTCCATGCTGGCACTCATAAACATACTTCTGTCCATCGGGTGTCTCCTGGAGTGGGTAAATGCAATAGATTCACGAGTAAAAATAAAATTATAACCAAGATTTTTACAAACGTCATATTATTATCTTTTTTCTAGCCAGATAAGCCACTACTATCCCGTTGTATCCCGATGCTTGGTTCACCTCTTACCTTTGCATTGCCATAGGGCACCAGAGAAACAGACATGATTTCATTCAGCAAGAGCCAGGTGGGGAAGAGCATCTCAGCGAGAAAAAGTCTGCATCCTGGACACAGACTCTCATAGTAAAGCCCCACTTCGACTGCATTTTCAGTCTGATGGGACCGAGTGACGTTTGATAGAAGGCAATGCTTTAAAACCTGCACAGAGGGGCAAAAGTGAAGAGATTAACTCGTAAAAAAACAACAGAGAGCATCAAACATGAGTAGGTGCATAGAATGCACGGTCAGGATATTTTCCCTTTAAGAGGCAACACTAGAAAAGCTCCTGTTGTGTTATCATATAAATGTATAATTCAGTTGAAAGATGGCCTGCATTTAGTTTTGCATATCTGGGTTTCTGTTGTGTTGTGGCTGTAAAGCTACATTCACGGTACGTTGGTAAAACCGGAAAAAAATTATTCACACTGGGAAACCCCAAATTTAAGTGCCCACAAGTCAGTTATCACTTGCATCCTGTAAAACTTGGCACCAGACATGCTGAGCTGACAGACTTGTCTTTCTAGTATAAAGACACATGACGGATAAACTTATAAATTGCCTTGATGGCCAAATTTTGTGTCGAGTCATGTGTTGCCAATTTATTTGGTTAATTATTTTCCACGTAGAATGGCCTAAATTATACTTAAGCTATTAATCACACTAGATAATAAATGAAGCGTACATTTGAATCAAACTCGGTAAAACGACTTTCCAAACTGGGAAAAAAGACCATCCGAGGAGCACTTGAACGCAGCATAACTGTTAAGGCAGGAACACTTCTTAGGTTTGGACTTCCTGAAGGAAATATGTCTTGCCCAGTGTTTTAAGTTTAAAAAATAATAATAACTTTAATTAGAAAAAAACATTTTATTTTACGGTTTATAATCCGTTTCGTGTGAAACTTAAAAAAGGATACAGAAAGCGATGGAGCTAACGACAACTTGCTCTTTTTGACAACTCTTAGTTATTTTACAATTACCATTAATGATTAAAACAGTCTAAAGGACAAACTGTGTTAAGGATGTCAGTCGCAAGACGAAGTGTGAATTTATTACAGTATATTTTAAATAGTTAGCTGAGTCAGCTCTTGAGTTGACAAATGACGTCGCGTCAGGCTGCCCACTGTTGCTATAGTTTCCTCCAGTCATACTAGCGTAACGTTAGTGATTTAAAATGGTGCTTTATTAGACAGAACACGTATCTTCGAGGTTTTGTGATTGGTTTAAAACACCTGGCAAGTTTCACATTTTCAAGTTAAGCCAATAATTAAAGATTTTTTTCCCTATTACATCAATATACTTACCCCGCATTGGATAGCTGTGTCCATAGACGAGCACCACTCAGACGGAGGAGCGGGACATGAAGAGGAGAGAGCGTTACCGCCGCACTGACTGCCGAACCAAACAGTCAACACCAACAGCACAGCACAATTCATCTTAAATTGCAGCAATAAAAACAACTTCACAAAGTCTGAAGCAACACAAACTGACTCACTACTTGTCTGGGCCGTGCAACTTTAAATATAAGTACCGGTGCTTCCTCGTGCAGATAACCTCATTTTTGATTGGCTCCCGATCATATGATCAAGACAGCGTCATTTGTTACTAGGTGACAGAGTCCACTGCTTCTGCTTCTGCTGCTGTCAAGAAGAAACGCAACTACACAAAGAATATAGCAAATGTGCCGAGTTTTATGGTCTTTCATCTTGGCAGTTTTTCCAATTATAAGTAGGTGGCAAATAGTCTACATTTTAACAGTAATGTCTCTTTTTATACGGATATAATGTGCTATATAGACATGAATGATGTGTTATTCGAAGAACTAGGTAATTGATTAACTAATTATATCATCAGAGCTTTATAAACAGTTTATACAAGGGTTTTTTTTTCCAGGAAACACATGTTTTAAAAACACACAGTCCAAAATTAGGGATAGTAGTCATGGCATCATATGCTTGTCATGAAAGCATGTCATAGCAGCAGTTCTTCAGTCCATAGGTCTTGCTTAAGAGTCATAAGAAACACAAACTTCATCAAAACATCACAGACCCTTGTCCTCTAGAAAAAGGTTTTAACCTGGTGATTTTCACATGATCTCTATGAGATTCTCTAAAACAAGGACTGCCATAGAAGCAGACAAGACACAACAAAACCCTGCATGACTCACACCGCTTCCTGTCAGTGTTTTAGCTTTTAAGATTTACAAATTGAAATAAACCATCATAATGAAAATCAATATGTTTTTCAATGTGTTAGATTGTTTTTGCACAGTGCAGATATGATTCAGTGCATAATTTACATATCATGTTGTGTTCCTTTGCCATTCTCAGAAAGTTTCATCACATCATTTCTCACTTCCCTATCCAGACAGTCTGATGGTTGTGGCTTGAATTGCCTGAGTTTTACCATCTATGAGGGGTATGTATCCATGCTACATTAAAGCAAGTTAATGTTTCATTAGTGGTTATACAAAATATTAAAAGCTTTTTTTTTTTTTAAACAAATACATCTCTGTGTTCTCTATAGAAAATATTTCCTCATAATGAACCACAGTCTACCTAAAAAAAGTGTCTTTGAAAACTTTAGAAAGATTCTCACTAAAAAGTGAGTGAGATTTCTAAATGTTGCTAAGTGAACTTTTGAAGGTGCACTATGGAGTTCTGGTAGAGAAATGTGAAAGTTGGAAAAGTGTACAGATTTTGTGGTTTATGTTCATAACATATCCACACAGTGTTTTATCTATGAATAAAGTTGTGTATTTAGTTCAAAAAATATAGCTAATAATTGTTTAATTTCTCCAACTTTCACTACCAAACCTACATTCTATTAAACATTGTGACCCTGAATGTGTGTTAAATGCATTGCTTTCTTCATAAAAAAAACATGTGAAGATGACCCAAAGAAATATTTCAAATCTTGCATTGTCTATTACGTTTGTATTTTCCAGCTTAAAGTCTTCTTCTTCACTGCTTTTGTAGTTTATTGCCATGCGTTTGCTGCTTGAGTTTACATAAAGAACACACGCATACTTTATTGTGTAGATGATGATACAATCAAGGGAGGACTACATACCAACTACAAGTGAGGGATGCTATGAAGTTAAAGGCCATTACAGTCAGCGGGAGTATAAGTTGGTCATGACAATTTCAAATAGTGACAAGCTGATGGCAAGCTCATCATAAAGCAAAGGTCAAAGAAAGAGACAGCAGTGAACTTCAGTTCATATATCTTTTATTGTCTTTTAAAATCATTGCATCAGCCTAAAGAAAGAACCGTACAGATCAACGAGTACCTGTCTGAGAACAAACACAACTCTGAAGCAAGCTGTACACGAGAGAGAAAGAAAGAAGTGTGGCATCTGAATTAAGATAGAGCACAAAGGAAGGACAACACAAGAGTAGAGAAGAGGAACCATCTTTTTTGTGCATAGGGGGGTTGGGCCAATACCTCAACCGATACGCCTCTACTGGCTGAAACAACAGTGCTCCCTCAGAGTTCAATTGCATTTTGGTGTAGAGTAGCTTTAACTGACTGATTCACTGTTTTTGAGAGAAATTAACCACATCATTATCTATCATGTATTAAGAAAAAAATACTGTTGCCGCTGCTGCTGAGTCAGTGATTCATTGAGACTTACTGAGCAATGTAACAGAGCAGAAGAATATGTACTACTGTACATAAGTGAAATTACTACAAAAATACGGTACTACAATGGCATCCGTTCAGTGATGATACGACAATATTGAATTAAGGCAAAAAAAGGACATGAAAGTGAAGGGTTGCTGACGTCAACTACATTAAAAAGGGAAATGACACAAAGTGAGACTACAGTGGAAATGTTTTGGTTTTCCACTTAAGTTCAACAATCTAAAAAGCTACTGATGACTATTTTTTTAGTTTTATTTTCTCTGTAGTGCAAAATCAAGACAAGGATGCCTCTTGATAGTTTTCCTGAAGTTCCAAGTGTGTTAATGTATTAAATCTGTACTCAAGCATGTTCACCAAGGGGCGTGTTGTAAGTCACACCGTGTGAGTACCACCTGCTATAAATTCTTTCTGTGATTCAGTCCTGCATGTTTAAGGCTCAGTGTAAGGTGAAGTAGTCAGCAGGGGAAGATTGACAAAGACTGAAGAATATCAACAGGGTTAAACTAGTTGGGTTATTTTGAAATTGAGGGAGCACTGTTCTAAAAGGAAAAAAACAAAAGGAAAAAAAGACAAACACAACAAGCAGTCATAACATTTTCAAGTTTAAAATAACAGGAAATAATGAAATATAAATCAATCTATCACGGCCACTTTGAGGGACAAACAGACTGATCCTCAAACGCATATTTACTATTTGGTTAATTACATATTGTAAACATTTGTATTTCTTTTTTTTTCTGTATGGAGGAAAACATTTCAAGCTAGCTTATTTTTTTCTTTATAGGCTCTGTAAGGTTATCATGAACAGATATGAACAAACAAACAAAAAGAAATCAACACTGGGACAGACAAATCTATGAGCTTTTTGAAAAAGCCAAAAAATACAAACAACAAAAAAAAAAACACGAAATATACTCAGGCACCATAAAAGAACACTTTCTAATGCCATCATTGTTCTGCGTACAAAGATCTGCCTGAAGGAGTGATCATGAACCGTTTCATCGTGTACCTTGTCTTCTCTTTAAACAACCCTTCAGCGACCAAAGAGATCCACAAAAGAAAAAAAAGAAACAGTGGTAAGATGGTTCACTCTGTTACAGCATCAGTGTCCAATTTGTGTGGGATCTCTGTGGCAGCATCCTAAGTGTCTTTTTTTGGTGCAACTTTAACACTCCGTCTACTCACACAAACAAAATCTTCAAAATGACAAATCAAGATTCTTACGTACAATAAAACAAAATACAAACAAACAAACAAACAAAACTCCTCTCTAGTATTTCATAAATGCAAAGCAGCCAAGACTGCATTGAACATATAGACTTAGCTCTGTAAATATTAACACATGTACATAAGCTTGCTTCATCCTCTGAATGCACCTGATAATCATGCGGATAGATTACACGTATGTCGATTGACTGTAACCACAAAGTTTTGATGAAGCTCACTGCAGCTGATTAGTAAAAATGCTTGCGTTTTCAATAACTGCTCGAACACAAAGCAGCCGTGGAGCAAGTCTAAAGATCATGTTCACATCGAAGCCTCCTTCTGATTTGTTTCAAGCACAATCCAAATAAGAGCGACATCATCCAAAAATATAGAATTCTAAGTATATATTTCAAAATATTTATTCTCTATTGTGTCTCTCATTCTTCAAACCTTAATAAACGTGTTTTTTTCTTGGTGAGAGATGTGCTTTGTGTGTGAGGCTGCTTCAAGAAATATCATTTACAGTGTACCAAAGCTGATGAAAGATATTGGATTTCTTGAATGATCATTAGTCAAATAGAAAACGGTTTTCCACCAAGCTCCAACACAAATGTATATCTAATAGATGAGCAGGATGAAAGCTTTGAGATTCAGAGCAACATCTACCACACACAGGACTAAAGTCTGAACTCGAAGTCAAAGCGCAATAAAGTCTTCATCCCGTCTCACTGCCTGACCAGGTCTCATTGCTACTGAAGTTGCATTGCTTCTAGCGATTGAACATCTATTAATAACATGGTATATATGGCATATGGAAGTGTGTGCCTACACTGCAATAGTGTCCATCTTAACAAGTAAATAAGAAGTAAGTGCAGGAAGGTCTTCATTTCTAAAAGCTCTGATAAAAATCACTTAAATGAAAGCAGAACCAACTGGACCGTGAACTGGTCTGAACAGCTGATGTGGGAAAATCTGAAGTTATCTCGCTCCATTGGTGTTAATTTACAAAGAAACATTTTCCTATTCATGTTTGTAACTGTAATGTTAAGCTAAATGTACAGCAGAAACAATGGCCGACTTTTAAACTGAAATATCCAATTTCCCAAAGATCGGTAGCCACAGTTGGGACCAATTTGTTGTATGTTGATAAAAGCGTTTAAAAAAATACTTTTTAATGGACAATGTTCCTCAGATCAAAATGAGGTCCAAGGAAAATTCTTAAGATTGAAATCTCAGAATTTTAACTTCCCACATGGTTTAGATACCATTAACTGTGAGTGAACAACATCTTCCTGTGATGAGGGGAGCTCAACCCTTTTGAGATATAATCTTGTTAAATTGGACAGTCTTTGCTGTGTGGACACAGATTGCATAATGAGCCAGCAGCTCTCCTTAGACACGCTTTAAAAGTAATACAGTTTTTACAGCCCATAAAGTCAAAGCAACTCTACACTGAAAACATTTCAATCAGTCAAAAGCATCAGAATTACATGACAGTTGTTGACCGTAAAAAAAAAGAAGCATATACTGTACACAAGATACTCAAAGAAATATGTCAATCCCTCTCATGTACGGAAAGATCAACTAAAAAAACACTATTGACAACTGAGCTTGACCACTGTCTGTGAGTTTATGGTTGTTGGGCGTTAGACACACTACTTTAAGTGTGTGGAACAGAAATAAAAGTGCAGTCACAGAAGTGTTGGTCCAACAAACTGGATAATAGATGTGTCAGCAGCGGCAACTGACCCAACCAGAAGAAAAAGAAAACACTGAGAAATGCTGCATGCATCATCATCTTGAGAGCTTATCAAATGAGCTTCAACCAACTGGGCTGGGCTACGGATGTGTTACGGTTCACATTTCTATCTTATCTGAGTTTTATTCAAAATATAAATCAGACAAATAATTATTTTTAAAAAAACACCAAAGAAATGTAGCTTTGGTGCAAAGTGAGAGAGAGCACCAAGCTACTGTACAGCCCCCACCATAACAAGAAGGAATATGTAACAACTATAGATGTAACAACAAAGAGGCACACCTCAAATCTGTCACTCTCTTATCTACAACATGCCAAGATCTGCTCTAACACACACATGAACACAAACACACACAACAACAACGCTGCCAGATATCCTATAGTCTTTGATAAATGGCAAATGTGTGAAGCATGGGGCACAGCATGTGGTCGTGGTGGCACCGTCTCAAAGAGCAACACTCCATAGATGAGAAGCTCGACACAATGACTGAAGGCACTTCTAATCTCTCTCAGTTACACATTTTTTTTTATAGCCCTCTGATCAGAAGCAGCGCCGTCACTTCTGCTTTAATCCTTGGGATTTCTACTTTCCAAGAACTGTGCAAAGTATAGAACAACAGATTCATCCTGACAGATACCAAACCCAGGTCTTGATTTAAAGACTTCCGATGGAGTTAGGTTTGATAATGGGATGGTACGACCGGGAGAACGTTGCAACCTGAAGTTTGTCCATTTTTAAAAGTTTGTTGGGAGGTTTGAAAAGAAGATTAGATTTTTAAACTGACTGATTGCATAATGAGCCAGAGAAGTTGAAAACTTCATCAAAAATGAATCCAAAGTATCAAATGTGCAACCTTTTAAAAAACAGTGCACTTCTTTTCTAAAACGTCCTGTTCACAATTTATTTCAACTCTTGCATACCTTTCTACAAAAATACTATTTTTTTATTTTTGGCAATCGGAGTCTACTATAAGAAAACTGAGTCTCATGTTCATTCATTCTCAAGAAATCAGTTATGTGATTCTAATTTAAAAGACGCATCATGTGGCGCCTGTTTCCAAATTTAAAAAACGTACAAGAACAGAACAAATGAACTGTGCTTTGAAAGTGAGGAGAAAAAAGATGGTACAATCTTTACCTCAAGCCAAATGTACATGAGGGAAACGAGAGAAAAATTCACAGCCACGGCACAGAGAAGAGGGAGGAGGTGACTCGGGAACTCTAAAAACAAAATCACATGCGACTGCGTTGTGGATAGTACTGTATTACCATCATACAGTATATGTACTACAACAAAAAAAAAACACAATTATCAACCACTGGTGCCTAGCAAAAACAGAAAAACAACCCAAATGAAGGTCTCCATGCATACTGTACTAGATAATCTCTCAGACCACAGAGGCCACGCTATATATGGCGAAAGGACAGGTTCTTTTTTTTCTTTTCTTTCTTGCTACATGAAAAGACATCCTTCATTTGGCTCACATTAGCTGGATACTTTGCATCCTTAAACTGAATCTAAGAGCATAGCAAATGTTAAATAAAAACAAAAGAAATCACAGAGTTGAAAATGTATAATTACATACACTGACTGCATGTGTGTCTGAAATATACTGTACACGTGTTATATTACTGCTTTCTTTTTTTTGTTTGTACAACTATGTTCTACAGCTCCGTGAGTCAAGCTTGTGATGAAATGAAAAGTCGAGCGTGAGTGCGGGTAGCAGGAAGTACCGAGAGTAAAATCTGCATTAAAAAAAAACAATAAACATCTGCGAGGACAAAGTACCGCTAAAACAGTCTAATCTAAAAAGAGACAAGGCAAATACAGTACCGAAGATACAATAATGACATAGATTGATGCTCTGCAAGTGTCTTTACCATTTTAAAACAAGACACATGAGAGAAGCATTAACAGTTATGCCTTAAGTCAATGGCTACAGGTGCTACAGTATTGAAGAGGATGAGAAAAGAAGGAAGTTTGAAACACAGGGACGTTTGACGCAGGAGTCTTTCCTCTATTTCATCAAGAAGAAATGACATGGAACTGCATTATCAATGTACCTCTCTGTCTGGTGTAGAGTGATTAGGAGCTGATTCTCTATTCACAATATACCAAATCTGTACCATGCAGATTTGTCCTGTCACACAGTATTTACTGAACCATGTACCTCGTCGATTCAAGAAGAGGCTCGCTGAGAGAAAGCCACATGCCAAAGCAGTTGGAAATAAAGATAATTTCATACAATAGACCAACATGTGTGTATGTTTTAAAGCTTTGTCTACGTCGAGAGCTATTCATTCCCTCCTTTCTTTCAACCTCGGCATGCAAACTCCTTGTTCCAGAGACACAGGCTTGTGGTCATTCAAAATCATTACTATGGCACTTAAGCAAGCTTTAAACTCAATCTTTAAAAAAAAGAAGAAAAAAACCCACTAGAAGCATCCACCCAAATCCTGCCCCCAGCTTCAGTGACATCAGCCGACTGGTCCATGTTTGCTCTGCCACCTGCAGATGTAAAGCGAGCAGCCAGGTTTAGCCACTCTGGTACTGTCAATGGATGACAGCTCAGGCTTTTGTCGACAGAGAGTTTGCAGGTTGGGCCTTTGTCAATGGACAGTTATCATATGTTCATGGCAAGAAACAAAAATAAAAAGTGCCTCCTGTAAGTTTTCCCCTCATCCTGCCATCTGGTTTCTCTCCTCTTCGCCATGATCTTAAAAAAACAAACAGGATTTTGTGTGTTCATAGTCTTCTTTAAACACATTTAATCTGGGGGTTTCTCTCTGTATCAAGGGGTTTATTCTTGTTTTTCATTTCTCACACTGTACAGTCATGGCTGGCTTACGTGACACACTCTTACATTAAAACTCACTCCATCAGCCAGGCTAACTGTACAGTCATTTGTTTCTGGTAGTAGTGTGCTTATTTTGAAGCCATGCTGTTAGCAAGGAGTGCTCTTTGTTGGATGGGGTCTGTGCAGGACAGATGCACCAGCCTCCAGCCAAAAAAAACAAAAACGTATGAATTGTAAATTGTGGTGGTTGTGTCTACTTTGAATCGCCACTTAAACAAGAATAAGCATTGTTCAGAGGTTCATTTTGTCCCCAATGCATATGAGCGTAGACTTTGTTTCCCGGCCCTGGTTGGCATCCCAAACTGCTGGAGAGAAATTCATCTGGGGTGCTGGTTCTGGTTCTGGGAGCGGGCCAGGACTGGGTAGGCTAGATTTACATTCAGCTGGTCGTTGTGTTGGACTAAGGAGACATTTTTGTAGTGGAGTACCAGGTCTTTGAGGGACGAGTAAAGGTTGTAGGGCTCAGCAAATCCATAACCCGTGGCGGTCTTGTAGATGACGCAGTGCTTGGTGTCGCCCTCAACACTGGAGAGAAGAACAAAAATTAATTTTCACAGATTATCTTCATTGTACAATTGTCATTATCGTTCCATTTCAATAGATGTTTTAAATGTCATGTTTCTTTCAGCAGGTCTGGCCTAATTTGCCTTTGAACTGCTCATGCATTAAAGCTAGTTATGAAACACACAGTAACAATTAATGCTGAATGTGATAGCGTTTGTTCCAGTTTACACATATAAGTCTTATAAGTCTTCATTCGGTCAGTAATTAAAGTAAAAGAAAAAAAACATTTTACTCAGATTTTTACAAACAAGCATAAAAAAATAAATAAAAAAAACAGACACAAAAAAAGCACACAAAAATACATACACAACAGAACAGGCGTAGGAGCCCTTCTGTGATTGGCTCTCTCGGATGAGGAAGGTGCCGTCACATTTTCCTCTCAGCATCTCCTCTGCCTGGGTGCGTTTAATGTCACCCACATACCAGGTGCACTCATCGTGGTGGGGCGAACCCTCGTCCTCCTCCAGCGAGTAGGAGCTGGAAACACAGAAAGACAAGACAGCGGCACATTCTCAATTACACTTCTTTGTCATGTACCAAGAAAAATGAACTACTAGATTACAGTTGGAGATTCTGAAGTAGGATCTCAAACACTCACTCATCAGCGTCATTCTTTATGCCCAGCCATTCATTGATCTTTTTCTGCCTCGTCCCCTTCTGTGTCAGCCAACTACAAAGCCAGAACAGATTAAATACAGACAATAGATTCTATAGACATCACTCTTTTTATAGTTCAGGCACTGAGTACATATTTATTTGTTTCTCCTTACATCAAGTACTGGTCTCTGATTTTGCGGAGTTGCATGAGATCGGGCTTGAGGCTGTTCATCTTCTTATCGATCTCTCGGTTATCAGACACCTGCTCTCTCAGGTCCTGCTCCAACTTACACTTACTGTCATGGATCTCCTTCACACGGGACTTCAACCGCTCCGAGTTGCTCTGAATCCTGATTTGGGAGAAAGACAAAACAATAGTCAGATTTGTGATCTTCAAACGCGTTACCAGATATGTAATGCATCTGACTGCTGTTGCAATAAATTACGATTTTTAAGGATCTCGTGCACATAAACATGAATTCACTTTTGGATCTCTTTCTCGTTGCCCTCGCGTTGAAATCGCTCCAAAGACTCTCTGCTGTAGCGCTCCTGAGTCTCAAACTGCTCCTCAAAGATCTTGATGGTCTCATTGAAAGCTTCTATGGCGGTGCGCTTCATCTGCAGCTCCTGTGTGGAAAAAAAAGAATCAAGATTCATATCTAATCTTCAGCTTCTGACATAACAACTGTTCACTGCAGTCTTCACATTCTCATTTTATTTTGGTGTTGTTTATTTCATTGTTTGTCTTTCACTCAGATTTTATCGTTATTAGTCAGATCGGTTTTCTGCACAGATTCTGTGTGTGTGTGTGTGTGTGTGTGTGTGTGTGTGTGCGCGTGTGGCTGGTGTGTGTTGGCCTCATACCTGTGAGGTACGTGTGTATTCCTCGTACAGTGAGTCATACTCCCGACTCTTGTCCTGGTACTGCTCGTGATAGACCTTCAGTTGCTCCCCCACCTCCTCTATGCTGTTCTCCTTCACCAACTGAGATGACGGAAAATAAGGAGAAAGCAAAATCACCACCAAAGGAAATATAATTTAAAGTTTAGGCTGACCAATTGGCTTTCAAAGAGATCTTGACGAAAGGAGGTTGAGAAAAAAAATGAGTACATAGACAGCAGCCTGACCAACCTGCTGGTATTTGGTGACCGGGTACAGCAGCTTGGTGTCCAGTTTGGCGTTGTATTGAGCCAGGGACTCGTGGCGGTAGTGATTGATGAGCTCCACAACAGACAGAAAGGTAAGAGGCTCTGAGAAGCCGTACCTCCCGTCTCTGTGGTATATCTTTATTAGCTTGTTGTTCCCTCCTTTCCTGCAGGGGGAGACAAACAAAAAAGAAAAAAGGTGATGAGCTATATGGCATTAGGAGATACATGTACAAGTACATATTGATTGTATGTTTAACGTGGGAGACAAAGTGTGAGTAATGAAGATGTTCTACAAAAGTTATGCTTTACCTGAGAGTGAGTGTGTACTCCCCCTCCAGTTTACTGGAAGCATCCCGGACCAGAAAGGTGCCATCAGGAGTGTCTCGCAGCTTTTCATTCACCTCCTCTCTGCGAATAAGACGACACACAGATTTAAACTATTGAACGTTGGGCTGTGATCAGATGCAGTTTAGCATCAGAATAACAACATTTCTAAAGGTTCACCAAGAAAAAATGATCCAGAATTCTATTTCATGTATATCTGAAAGGTATTATCCATATTACTCAAAATACTAAACAAGACAAGTCCAAGAAACTAGGGATCTCTTGGGTCAGTGATTCTTTTAGTCAGTTTCTTAAAGACAGTTATGAAAAGTTAATATGAACACCACTCAAAAAATAAACAAGATGTAACTATCTTAACATCATCATTACCTGGAGATTTCTCCCCAGTACCACTCAGCATCTGTCAGCATGCTGCTAGTGTCCGTCATGGCTGATGAAGCCAATTTTGACTTGACTGGCTTTGCTGGAAGAACTGCAAACCGACACAAACACATAAACACACAGAGATCATCACCAATGAAAGCATTGCATACTGATGCAGTGGTAAGTAACTTAAACACAATCACTTCTTGGAAACTAAAATATAATGAAAACAATTTGCATCTTGGAAGTACAACACAAAGAAAACTTTATTTGTTTTCATAGCAAACACAATATCTGACCACATCTAAAGACACATTCTTAGTGCTCAATTATAACAAACACAGCCTTTCAAAAAGAACAAACCTGGAGGAGTTAGGTCTTGCTCTGCAGTTCTCTCTATCAGCAGCCTCTCCACCACAAGAGCAGGTAACTCATCATCCAATGACAACCTGATCAATCAATAGACAGATTAGCAATAAACCAATGACATGTTTGTTAGAAATGTTAATTCTATTTTGGGAATGTCTTGCTTCACACAACACAAATCACATCCAGGATACACTATTGTGTGTCCATTCCTCCTCCAAATAGCAATATTGTCCTAAACAAACTCGTCCAAAACGTACCAAGGAGTAGACGGGCCTGTCCGCATCAGCAGCGGCCCAAAGACCTTCCCTAGCGTGTATGTATCCAGTCCATTACTGGCCTGTGCCTGAGTGACCTTGGACAGGTGTGTTAGGAGGTACTGCAGGGTGAGACGGTGATGGAGAGGGACGGTGGTGGCGCTCTCGAGGACGAAGCTGACCTCCCTGTCATGGCTCCCAGCGACTGCACCATCTGCAAGAAATCAACATAGCAAACATGAGACATTTCTGTGAAATGTGGCCTTTATAAATACTGTGCTTTGCTTTAATCCTGATTAAGTTTTTATAAGTTAAAATAAAAAATGGTTAACAGGGTCAACCCATGTCTCTGTAAATTTGCCATGTAATTATGTGAACTGAAATGAAGTTGTGTTTTTTGCAGAGGAGAATCAGCAGCAGCATTTCTAACATGCCTTAGTGATCTCATCCTCTCCCAACACTCGACTCTGTTTTCTCAACGCTGGCATGAGACTGACCTCGATCAGCTGCTTGTGAGGCTCACCCTGAGCCTCGTGGACTTCTTCCAAATTACAGTAACTAAAGCTATGAAAGGTGTCTTTCTCCTGACTGAAACATTAGCAGCACACAGCTTCATTTTTAGGCTTGTACTATTGTATTACACAAATCGCCTTTTTGTCTAAACTCAATAAAATGTCCCTCACATTTTTATCTTATTGATCCCTTAATTATTTTCATATCCATCACAAAGAAGACATTTTAAGAAGTTTCTAGAATAAAGTTGTATTTTAATAGGAGTAGAGGAAAATGCCATCTAACTTCAGCAGGTGCGTCTTTCAATGACTTGTTTGTAAATCTATTGACTTAAATGTTTGTACAGGGACAAGTTTCTAGCTTAAACCAATGTAAAAACACCATAGACTTTACAGCATTGGCTAATTTTGCATTCCCTGTCCCTAGACAGGCTTTTCAAAAAAATCAAACTCAACAACATGACACACATGCCACGTACTGGTTGGTTGCTTTGCATGTTTAAGTCCATTAACTGCAAGATGTGCAGGACATTTTCAAAATGTATTTGACTTTACTGTAGACTATTTATCAGCTTTGACCTTTATTTTATTTTTTTTAGAACAGTTCCTAAAGATGCAAGAAGGCACTGGTTTCAGTTGGTCAACAATGTAAGAATGTGTCGCCTGTTTTACTTTTTTTTGTTACAAAAGTTAAGTCACAGCTGAAAGGAAATGAATGTGTTGTCTTTATTAATTATCAGACATTCATACATCCATCTCTAGGTTTCGGCATCCAACAATATAGATATTCAGCTCAATGCTTTCTGGCAGCTGATTTCTACATGTCATGTGCTGACACTTTTCACAAGCTTTTTAAGTTCCCATCGGCAATAATTTGTGACAATAATCTTACTTGAAAATTAATCAATCAACAAAACAATGACAAGAAAAAAAAGGAAGATGCCTGCCTTTCTCAAGAAAGGTTCAATTCTCCAAAGTTGCTTTTCATTGTGTCAAGGGTACCAAAAAAAGGCCTACTCAGAGTCAGTGAAAAAAAGGATAATATTCCTTCACAAGCCATCATCTTAATGAGCTACATAAAAAAAGAGACTTTTACTTATTTGAAAATGGTAGTTGAGTCTTTTAAGCATTGTGTAGCCATTGATCAAGGGACGTACCTGCTGACTGCTGTTGGAGCTGCTGCTGCTGCAGTGTGATAGCAGTTTGAAGGTTGGGATAGATACAGTCTGGGATGACAGGTGACGGAAGGTCTCTCAAGTAGCGAAGGACACACTCGCACAGGTCAGCCACATCTTTCTGACCCATTTCACACTCTGTAGCCCAAAGACAAAATTATAATGAGATAAAAAAAAATCTACCAGACTATCAATCACAGAGAAACCTAAATCTGAACTCTCAATTGACGGTTGTGGTAAAAAAAAAAACATTTTACCACTTTATCAGAGAAAGGTTTGTTGAACAGTGCATGGTATGAAATATAGTAGTGCAATTAAAAATTAAAAAAAGCAGTAACACTCAGACCCATCGTCAGCAGCATCAACACAGTCATACAATATTTCCAAACACCTGGCTAACATCCTAGCTCCCACAGTTGGAAATACTCCTCGTCACATCAAAAACTCCCAGGAATTTACCAACAAGGTAAGGGATCTAAAGTTACATCCAGAGGAAACAAAATTTTCCTATGATGTCACCTCTTTTTTCACATGCATCCCAACCATTGAGGCTATCAATGCCATCGGAACAAGGCTTCTTCAGGACAACACCCTATCCCTCAGGACTTCTCTCTCACCTGACCCCATTTGCGCAATGCTGGACCTCTGCTTGAACACTACCTACTTTCAGTACAACGGAGGCTTCTACAGACAGAAACATGGCTGTGCCAAAGGCTAACCAGTATCTCAAATAGTGGCCAATCTCTACGTGGAGGAGGTAGAGAATAGGGCTCTAACTACCTACACACAGCCACTGGCTTAGATATATGGATGACACCTGGGTCCAAATTTGTCTAGATGAAGTTGAAGCTTTCAGGGGTGACCTCAACAAGAAAGACAACATCAGGTTTACCAGAGAGGATGTCAGAGGACACTGCTTGGCCTTCTCTGACTGCAAGGTGTGCATTGAAACGGACCAGTATTTACTTTTTGAGTCCCACCATCCACGACAACACAAGCTAGGTGTCATCAGAACCCTACCTACACCATAGTGTACCTACAGTAGCAGAAGGAATAGAAACTCCTAAGAGAGGCACAATGTGGTCACCTGAACTGGGCCTTAGTCACCAACAAAGAAGAGGAAAAAAACAAACGTCTCAACATTGTAATTCCTTACTTGTCTTAGGATATTCCACAGACACAACATCCCAGTACAATTTAAACCATTCAACACCTTGAGGTAGAAGTTGCTCCACCCGAAGGAGGAAACTCACAGGCATAGACAAAGCTGCAGTAAAATGCAGTTTATGCTAGTCCAATTAGGAATGCAGACATTTATACATTAGATAGACTAAACAACCACTACACAAACGCAAGGCACAGCATAGGAGAGCTAGCTCCTCAGGACAGGATTCAGCTGTCCACCTAAATCTGAAGGACAAAGGACACTCCTTCAAGATAACTAAGTGCACATCCTGGCAAGGGAAGATGGCTGGTTTGAAACAGGTGTTAAAGGAGTTATTTATGTTAAAGTTGAAAAAAAACCATCCCTTAACGAAGGTAGTGGTCTGAGACACCATCTTTCACCAACCTACAAAGTTGTGTTGAATTATCTGTCAAAACAACTGAAGCCCAATGTCCTACCTCGGAAAATGTGACCCTAATGACCCAAACGACTGGAAGCGTTAACAACTCCTGGCGAAACTAGGTCAATGACTCAGCTAACGACTGTCATGTGAGTCATCCCTGATCATTATTATGCTAATGATTCCCAGAGGATTATATTTCTAGCTCTGTCCACCAGTTGATTTAGTTCTGAAGACACTTTTCAGACAGAGGTGAAACGTCTTCAACCAAGTCCAATAGCCTTTGGATCAAGCTTTGAACAGTGCAATAAAGGTAAATGTACTCACCATTTATTAGCTGCTCACAAGAATTCACATTTTTTGCACATGAAATATTTGTTATTTAAAGCATCAAATAATGTCTGTTACAACATGTTATTAATCACAACTACTAGGCCATTACTTAAGAGTTGTCTTTCAGTACTGACTGTAAAATGACAATTAGTTACTTTGTTGAGGAGCCACTACTGTTGATATGCATAATAAGAATACTAATAAGCAACTAGTAAATGGTTGAAATGGGTACCTCAAATCTCTGTTGAGAAATGTTATGTTTGTGTCACTTTTGGCTCCCTTAAGGACAAAGCAGTACCTCATCTCATTGCTGATTTTTTGTGTGAGTAGTGTTTTCTGTCAATAATATAATCCTGCTTTCTTTAAAAATCTCGCTTATTAAATCTTTGCTGTGTAAAATGTAAACAAGGGATGTTTTGGCAGTACCCCTTCTGACACTCACCCCATGGGTATGGTCTTATTTGCTTTTGAAGGTCATAAAAAGGATCTCTGTTCATTTTAGTCCTTTTTATAATCAGTCAAAAAACCCTTAACAAGGGCTTTAATATGAGGCGTAATCATTATCTTAAACCTAGTTTGGCATGCCTGTACTATCATTTTTCTTCAACAATAGAATAAATCTATTATAATTGTATACGACCAAATATATTGGAAGCACTAATGAATTGTAAAATTATGTTGTTTTTTAAATGTATTTGCAACAAATCAACTGATTCGGGATAACTCACCTGTGCTCAGGCTGTACACTGGGCTGTCTGCACCTGAGGATCCTGAAGTTGACCTGTACAAAGTTACACAGTCCAGACCTGACAAACACAAAATGAGCAGTTGAGTAAAGGCTCAAATATTCGAGCTGACAAGAAAATACAGTAAAACATGGAAACGGTTAAGCAGCACTGAGTAAAAAGGAAATAGTAGAAATAGTAGAAATACAAAATTTTGCAAACAAAAACAAAGACTCCTACAGCAGAACAGCTAGAAGATCATTAAGTCTGAGTGAGCTGATGGGAGAACGCAAGATATCCGGAGAATTCACCTCGAGCGAATGGGAGAGGGTGTCAACATTTACATCCTGTGCACAGTGCATAGAGTGTATGCACTCCTGACACAGGTCAGGAGAATTTCAGGAGCAGTCCTCCTGAAATTATCTAGATATTTTCAGGAGTGCATAATTGAGAACAGCTTTAGATTAACTCCAGCTATGTAAAAGACATATTATGAAGCACTGAACAGAGATGGTTATATATTGGGCTAGATAATGTCTCTTTGGAAGAAACAACTTACATTGTTAAAGATTTATATAAACATTTGTAAAAACATTTTAGAATTACTTCAATAAAATGTGAATAAACTTTGGCTGTGTGTTGTTTTAATTGGTACAGTTAATGAAAATATCCCTGAAGAGAACATTTGAACTCTGAATGACCCTATCTCTTATTTGGACCCTGGGCATTAAAAGCATTTCGGACCACTGGATCCAGACAACTTGCATCTAGGAGGCAATTCCTCGTGACCCGGCAGTCTCTCAGATAGTTGTGAAAACCTCACCAAACAGTCAGTGTGCGTGTGCGTGTGTGTGCATCCAGCGTAGAGAAATAATTCAATATCCCTGTTACGTATATTATTTACATTCAGAGACAGACCTTCTGTCGCCCTGCTTGTAAACATCAATATTGAAATATTTTCCAGTGCCTGCATGAGAAGAATCTCTCTCAGGTATAAAACTGAATGCCTGAACTGTCAAATCTACTTCCTATAATGAATCAGCTTCTCTTTGACTCCATTTCTTGACACAGTCTCTCAACACATTTTATAATTTCAGTGTCATCATTTAGGTACAAAGACTAGCAGACCTTATCACAGTTTAGAAAAAACATTCCAATAATAAAGCTTTCTTGTAAGTTTAGAGTATGTCATTTGTTCACACTAGAAAAGTATTAAATTAGGGATGCCGAAAAAAGTAAAAGTAGGAGAAAAAATCAATACAGCATAGTATCGTGATATTTTGCATGGCGATATTATATCGTCTCATGGCGGCCAAGTATCAATATTTTTATTATATTAATAGAAATGTGCTTTTCACATTTGTAATTGCTGAAAAGGTTGCACAATTAATTCTGAACAAGTTGCGTTGTTTTCAGTTAAGACTGTAATACAAACAGTTCAGACTGTGAGGTGCATGCAGCCTTTTACAGGGTTTTACTTTGATCATAGTGTTGGTCAGCTTGACTCCCAGTGTATAGAATAAAAAGACTGAAGCGAGATTAAGAGACTGAGAATCTTTTCTAATTTCACAAAACAGTTTTTTATTTAGTTTAATTTTGTGGAAATAGGGTAATATTAAGTTAAAATGCAATATATTGTATCACAATTCTCAGCATATCGCAAAATGTTTAAAATCGCAATAATACCGAATCGTGACTCAAGGATTGTGATGATATTGTACGGTGGGGCCTCTGGTGATTCCCACTCCTACCAAATTGTCACAATTTAATGTTAACTACAATTCCAGTTGTTTAAGGTCTGTTTTTTAGTTTGGCATGCATCAAAGCTAAATACTTTTTAAAAGCTGTCCCAGGCTTCAAAATAAATAAGTAATGTAATTTCAAAAATCTGCAAAACATTTGCGAACATGCCAAAAAATTGGTCACTGCTTCATAGAAATAAATGGTTTTAGTAATCTTTCAGGCAAAAATGCCAAAAGTTCACTTGAGACTGATCTTCATTTGTGAGGATTTGCTACTTTTCTCTTTCTAACATTAATGTAGAAGTACGCAACTTTTAGTTATAGCTGGTCCTTAATGTGTTTGTGTGTGTGTGTGTATGTGTGTGTGTGTGTGTGTGTGTGTGTGTGTGTGACAAACAAGCATTGAGAGAAAAAAAAATGGAGGACAGAAAAATTGAGCCAAAACTGTGAATGGTCTCCCACTGAGTACTATTTGTTAATAACATGGTGTGAATCAAACCCACTGTGCAGGACTCTCACAGGCGTTCAAAAGAACTGTTCTGCAGAATGTATAAAATCTATACCAGGTTAATAATGTTCTGAGGAGGTTCTGTGTGTGTACATGAACTTGTGTGTGCACTTCTAACTGGATCCACATATCTATACAGCTACACTTCTGCAAACGCAGGCGTGAGAGCAGGAGGCAAATGGCGAGAGGCAGACAGTCACACGTAGACGGAGAGACTGGCAGTCGAGACAGACAACAGACGAATGTGTTGGCCGGTTGACATGTCTATACCTCTTTTCTCTATGGCTTGAATCAAGCTGACGAGGGCTGGGGGAGCCGTCTCTGGCGGTGTGAACTGCTCGCTCAGGTCCGGCACAGAAACAGCTGAAACAACAACACAAATCACTGTTACACTTCTGGCACAAAGCCTCTGAAAGGCCACAGGGGGGCTGCAGCACCAACAAGGGCACCGTTAACTCAGAGCTGTTTGAGATATAGAGCATGTATAATGTTGAGAGTATATCAAATATGTGAGGAAAACTATAAAGTATGATGAGGCGGGATTTAAGAGCCAATTTTGCAAGGAGCACACTCCTGTTTTTAAACCCGCAGCAGTGGTTACAAGTCTGTGTAGAATGTTTTTCAGAATCTTTTTAAAACAAGGACATATGTTAAAACTTGCGTTGAATGTCCCTGTGGTGGCTTTTATTTCGAAAGGTCTAGCTGATGAGATATATGATAATAGCAAAACAATTTGATAAATGTACAAAAGAATAAAAAGAGACTTTATTCAGAGTTGTGAAAAAATACCCCCTCCCCCTAAAGAAAAACAGAGTGCTGATGGCGAGCAAAAACTTTATCTACTTTACAACTCCCCATAGACGAAATCAAACATCTTTTCAGTCCAAGAGAAAGAGAAAGGGAGAAAGCGAGATGGGGAAAAAAGAGAAAGATCCCATTTCCCTCCCTCCCCCCCTTTTTTTTTTTATCCCTTTTCTTTTCTCCCCTCTCACTTTTCTCCTCCCCTCTGCTCCGCTATGTCCTGCTCGGTGTTTCGCCTTAGCTCTTTGCGTGAGTGGAGCACAATAAAGGATTTAATCAAAACTCCTGAACAAGCAAAAGCCCTGTGGCAGTGTGCCAGGCCCGGCTCGGCCCGGACAGGCAGCGCCTCCTATTCAGCCCCAGAGCAGGGCTGGGAGCTGTGTGTGTGTGGGGTGGGGTGAGGGGTGGCAGGGAGGGCCTGGCCCAACCGGGGGCTTGGCAGTAGGCTCCTGTTCCTGGCACGGCTCAGCTTAACCACTGCTGATTATTAATTTGGGGAGTTCAGACAAGAAACGCAGCGTCAGCACATTCCGTTCCCCTCGCTCTCTCTCTCTGGTTCTTGTTCTCAGTTCCTTTCGATGTCTCTCGCCCTCACTCGCTCTTTCCCTCTATCCTCTCGCACTCTGGCATTCTTGCGCTTGCTGGACTTTATCTATTACTTGTTCTCTCTCCTTTTTCTACATTTCCTGTCTTACACATTTTAGTTTAAACTCAATATTTCCTTTTTGATTTCCCTCTCCGTCTCTCCCTCTCTGTGTCTCCATGCCGGCCAGTTAAACATGGAAACTTTGCCTGGCAGAGTCTCCAGCTCTCTAGCATGCACACAGACAGTTCTCTGGCTCTTCTTTATCCCTGTAGGCCATTTTGGATGGCAGGCCCCTCCCCCATCTTCTCTCATCACAGAGACTCTCTCTTCAATGTCTGCTACAGTTTAAACATGCATTAACAAACTTAAACCAAACATTAGAACAAATCTTTAGTCATGATGTAGCACCTGGCTTAAAACTATCGTTAGAAAAAAAAGAGACTTTGGAGCAATTTTTGATCTGCTGACAAAAGTTGAAAAAACAATAATATAAAATGACTTTTTTTATAGCCACAATCGTTTAAGCATTATCAGTACAGTTTTCTAATGCAAAAATATATTTCATTTTTTTAATGATTATTTCTTTTGCTGCTAAACAAGTTTTATATATAAGTACTTTGTGCTACATTTTTTGTGTTCAACTCTGTAAAGCACTTGAATTGCTTTAAGTATGATTGGTGCTCCATTTATAATTTGCATTGCTTCGTTCACAACACAGGAGCACTTTTTAAAAAAATCCAATCCTCACAAATGACACAAATAAACTTTATTTTAGCTTCTCATCCCAAAGCTGAAGCAAAAATGCAAATCATATTGTTTAAGAAAACAGGTTTTATTGCTTAGTTAAAAACTGCGACTGCCAATTCTCATGGAACTCGTAAACAGGTGTGTTTAGGCAGGTTGCATGCAATGAAACAGGGAAATCACATAAAAGAGGGAAATAAGTACAAATTAAGGCTATAAACCAATAGTTTGGAACGAAAGTAGGAAGGAAAAATGGTCTGCCATATTTTCCCCTAGAGGAAGGAACTTCCTTTCCCCTTCATTCAGTCAAACATAAACACTTCATTTATTCCTCCGTACTTCAGAGAGAAAAAAATGCATTCAACTTTGACTTTCATGTAAAGGAGATTTTTCTTTTTTTTTTCTTTGCTAAAGCAGCTGTAGCCCTGGAGTCTTCTTTTGGTTTTGTATAGATATGGAAAAGAGGGGGAGGGAGGGAGAGATAAAGTAAAAGCAACTTGATTGTCAATGAGAACCACTTCTTTTGCAGACTGCAAAAAAAAAAAAAAAAGACTGCAAGCTGAGGGACAGGCATGTGAATTGACTGAGCTGAGCAAATGGGATGATAAAGAGAAAACAGAAACAGGACAGAAAGTGTAGGTTTGCACACTTTCGCTTTAACAAGTATGTCCTGTTCAAGAAGGCTTTCATCATTACATACAGGATCTTAAGACAGTTTTTCACTTTTATCCAGATAAGTTCAAAAATCAACACAGCATGTACAGTATATCTTCATTCAACATCTTTTGTGTCAGTGAAAAAACGATAGTCATGTGAGATGTGCGCTGTGAGCTGTGAGCTATCTAGACATGAAGCAATAATGGTCTGGTGAAAGAATCAGATACCGTCTCTGTCTGTTTGAACTGACCGGCTCACTCAATCCAAAGTGAGTCCGGACAAAGCAAAGCTATGCAATGCAAAATATTTGTTTTGTATCTTCTGCATCAGCATGCTTATGTAATGCTGCTTGAAGCTGCTCTGTAACATTCTCCTTTTAGTACATATTATACATAATATTTTTTAAATGTTCTATAAAAAATGGTAAGAGTAAAATAGAGCTTGCAAAATGTTAAAATCTGTTAGAGTAAAGCATGTACGTAATAGTGTTTTCTCACCAACTTGCAAATGATGTCATTGCTTTGTGTTGTATATTGTAGGGCCCTATGAAATCACTTATTTTCCTCTAAAATCCATGTTTTCCATTTTAATTCTTCTGAATTCTGTGTTCTAGGTCATGGATCATTTTGTCAGATAAGGAAATTGAGAAATGATTAAAAAAATACATTTGCTCGCCATTATATTTTAAAAAAGGTTGTAGTGCCCAGGCGACCCCTGCTCCCTTCTGGAACCGCGCCTGCATATAAGTGAACAAGGCAGCGTGCATTTAGCATGCATTATATCTTCAATGTTCGGATATAACGCAGCGCTGTTTAACAGAGTCTGTTTGGAGAAGTTCACAGACTACAAAAGGCTGTGGGAAGATGTTCCAATCGATCATTAAGTTACTGCTTGTTGATAAATGCAGGAGCAGTGACAGATGGACAAAAGTCGAGCAGGCACTTTGACAACTTAACGTGCATTCCCACCCATAAAGACTTGGTCCGTACAGACCACAAACTGTGTCCGGTTGTACAAAAGTAAACAGATGCACGTGATGGCCGGCTTTCCTGTGTGTGTGTCAGCACACTCCTGCGATGTTTTCCGACATGCAGACAGAATACGAGCAGTTTCCACAAATTCCATTTTCTAAAGTTGATTTTGTTTTCATAGTCAAATTCCGTGATTCTGTCTGTTGTCTGCATCACGGAAAATATAGGGCCCAAATATTGTTCAAAAACACAGCCAAGTTATTTGTTTTTATTTCGTTTTAAGAAGACACAGTTCGGTCAACCTAACTTTGATTTGCTTGTTACATTTTAGATGCATTCGGCTGCTTCTTTTGGGTCACCTTCAAGACTGTCCGATTAATTATGAAGTGTTCATTAATAAATTAATAACTTTGACTGCTGATTTTTCTTCTCTTTCTCTCACAGCATAGGGACACATGCTGTCTTTTTTACATTGACTGTATAAAACATGGATGCAGACTCAGTGATGTCAACCATTGGTTCCTGAATGGAGTTTTAAAGCCCAACAATGGCGGTCCTCAGATTGAAAATTCTGTCTCAACCTAACTTTTGGTCATAAAGGAACAGGCAAAGCTGTCAAGCTGAGGCGGGCCGTAAGCCTCCTGGCAATCAGCTACATCCTGCCTACCTGTCAGTCAACTCAACCACACCTGTAAGTATGAATAACTCTTATCTCTCAAACAATTAAACGAATGATTAAACAGTTCAGTGTATGCTGATGAAGACATTAAATATACAGACCAAAATTTTAATAGCCAAAAAATAAAGATCCATCTGTACTAGGATATCACAGACTAACATAGAAAGGCAATGCCATTAAACCAAATTATAATTCTGCTTTATTTCACCAAATTGAACCGCCAGGAATTCGCTGCCCTCTGTCCACTTAATTAAAAGTAAACTTCTTTATCAACAAAATAGGATTACATTTGCCCAAAATTTCTAACCACACCAGTTTCTCAAGTATGTGTTTCTTGTGCAGAGTGTTGACAAGGCCAGTTGGTGTCTGGCTCATACATGGTGTGAATGTTGCTGGTCAGGTTTCACTGCTAAACGTCCTCGCTGCATCCAACCATGTAGACAGGCCAAGTATCATGACTGGGCACACTATCCATTCCTCTATCACAACATACTTCAAAGACTCATATGTACAAGTGAGGCGCTGCAATCATGTAAAGACTGAGTAATGCATCTGGTTTTATGAGCCTATGAGGAGAGACATATTAATGCAGGGAGGTGATATAAAACCTGTAATTGCAGGCTGATTGAGGCATGTTTCATACAGCATGACTAGAGACCAATTTATCCTAAAATATCTCTAGAGTATCACGAAGCCTTCTGAAGGATAAGTTGATCTTTAAGTGAAGTGTGGTGTTAGACTGATGTTAACATAATTTTGTCCACACTGGACAAAGGGAATCCAAGTGGATGAAGGGTGAACTCACACTAAGCAATCCATACCATGCCCAAGCACGTTTGACCCCCCATAGTCCAGTAGTTTTGACGAGTATGAGTTTTCTAATTCTCAAGCCCAGTACACTTCCTTGGCCCTGGCATGGATGTTATAGGTGGGCTTCAGCATGGTACAGTTGCTCATGCACTCAACATGGACATGAAGTATAATCCATCCCTGTCTTCCATTATCCAGAAATCCTAGAGTGTTATCTGATTCAAAATAAGCCACAAAGTCAGTAAAGTTGCAGTTTTCTGTGTTGTTTTCTGATATGTGGACGTCGTGGACCCTTTTATTTTTTGTGTCATGCATTCGTTGTATTACGACATTATGTACAAGAGGTAACCGTGCTCAGGCCCGGTTAGTGCTGGAGCAATGTGAGTGCAGGCCAGCGGGTTATCGTATCATCTCTAAAAAGTAATAGGGTCCAGTTTAATAATTAGTGTATGTCAGATTTCATTCAACATTGATGCCAACTTCTCAAAGTGACAACAACTTCTCAAAGTGACAAGACAAACTTTCTTTTTACAACTTTGTCTTTTTATGTAGAAACAAGTACAACACCATTCAAGCCATTGAGGACAAACAGTACCAGGGGTGTACTATCACAACCAAAGCAACCTCCTCTTTGAAACTTTTAGTTTTCTACCTTTGAGGGTAGCTATTTTTACGATTGAATTAATAATCTTTTTAGCATCAACAACCAACCCAAGCTCACTCTAGATGCTTCCATCATTCAGCAAAAACAAACTCAGACTGTTACTTTTTTTCACTTCAGCCTAGAGTTAGCGACTGTACGTTATTCATTCAGTTTCTGGTTTGCTAAAGCCATTAATCTCTTAGGAAGATGACTTCACACCTGAATTAGTTTTCATTGAAAAATCCAAGGATTTTATTATTTTCAGCTCTTCAAACTGTAAGATGCAAAGTTTCCTAAAATCAAGGAGAATAGAACAACATTTAGGAAGAAACCAAATACAGCTGGTTCTTATATTTGCAGTTGGATTGGGTGACCTTGGCTTACAATGTAGCCTTCATCTCCCTCCCTCTCCAGCCTCTCCATATCGCTTCCCATTCACATTCTCCCCTGTCTCAGCCCCTCACCCCCACACCCCCTTCATGTGTGCTTTGAAAGTGTTTTCCTGGTAAGGCACAGGGAGCGGAGAACGAGTGGAGGCCTCTCCTTTCTGCGAACTGGCCCTGCTAACATGGTTTATAGCCGCCCAGAGACAGTATCAGACGTGTATGTGAATCAGGGAGAGAGGCTCCAAAAAAAGAGGGTGAGAGGGGGGAGGGAGTGCGCGAAGGGAGGACTTTTGCAAAAATGCCAAGCCATGGTTCACTTCAGCAGGCAGTTAAAGTGAGGCCAGGGAGAGGAGAAAGAGAAAGAAGGGAAGAGGAAAAAAACTCTCTCTGGGTTTGTTGAATTGTTTCTCCTGCAAGTTGAGAAATGTTCTGCCTCAAAAGTCTGGGGAATGAAACTAGTTTCAAGCCACTATTTGTCTTAAAAAGTGCACTTATACCTCTCACCCCAAGCAGCACTATTGCTAGTTGTGCTAACTAAGTGTTAGTTTACCAGCCAAAATCTTTTACAACTACTATTATTTATCAATGTGGAATCCAAACACAGCCTTTTTCCAACTTAATTAAAGCAAACTAAAAGACATCGTGACATACACATCTTCTGTCATTAATAAACAATCTATAAGCACAACAATACAACAACATTGACATGTGCTCAAGTATCATGCATGTTGTGGACTCTATACAATAACCTGAATTCTTTCAATCAAATGTGAGTCCTGGTTTTCTTAATCTGGGTAGGGGGGGTTTTATATAAACCCAGTAATATTTCTTCCAAGGACAGCTGATTTTTTTGGCAAGATTTACACTTGTACATGTTTCAAAAGTAAGATTAACATGTATGGCTGACTGACAAAAAGGACGTATTCATTGTAGAATTATTCAAAACAACTAAATCAGCATGTGTGACTCAAAACTAAACTAAATGAAGTCTGAGTTATTTTGCACAAATGAAACAATAAGAAACTCTCTCTCATTAGAAAGCTGGTTCTTGTAGTGCAAAAAAAAAAGGATAACCTACAACTCAACTTTATTTGTCACTGAAGGGCGATTTGTTTGAATATAAGTGTGGGGTTTAATAGTAACAATGTTACAAAGTAGATGACAGATTTCCTTTCCTTTTTTCTGCCATTAATACAGTTATTGATTGCACATGAACTTAATGCTGCAAACAGAAGAAATTACACTTTTACTTTGAACCTTCTCATAAGAGCACAGAAAGTTGAAACCTTAGATTAATTAATTACTGCTTATTTTTAAGAGTTTAGCTACTGGATAAAAGGATGGATTAAACTATCTTTCCTAACCACTAAACCATTGTGCTGCCCTGGGATGCCAAATGTTACAATCCATGGGAATAGTAAACTGGCCACAGTAACAATCGCTCTATTCACACAACATGGAGGGCCTCTTTGCCTTTGGGGAGATAAAGATGATATTTTTTTTAAAATTGGGGCTTGAACATTTCTTATCTACAGTGCACTTTTGGTGCTAAGCCAAGTTATCCTTCTTTCAGGCACTGCTGAAAGTTCAAAACTCCCCTTCCTAACCCCCCCCCCCCACCTCCCGTCATGGTTACACTACTGCCCCTGTCACTCCGTATCACAGACACAAACGCCTCCTGCCCAACTGGTTTGTCTCACTGTCTGTCAAAGGACAAGGATACTGTTCCCTTCACCTGGCTCTGCTGCACAAAGTGAGGAACTGAAGAGTACTTGTTCACTCTCAGGTTATTCCTTTATCACAACATGCAGAAACTCCAGCTTATAAGAACTCTGCAGTCTTTTGATCACAGTTATGTTTATACCCTGTTTTTAGGACATTCTCAATACATTTGAATGAGGCTCAGTATACTTTGGTGTACTCTATGAATTGCCAATTGGCTCGATCAGAGGTAATTCAGAGTTAACAGCCTACGTGCACAAAGTGGTACTTATCCCATCCGTCATAAAACACACAAGGGAATCAGACAAGAATACAGCTTTTGACAGAGAATGATGGTTTCATATGTGAAATGATGTAAAAACTTTGAATGATCTATTTTGGCCCTGTACCTATTTTTCTCTGGCATCTCATAAAAGGAAGCGATACATTTACCAGCTGCAGCCAAAAGCTATGGAGTGCAAATTATAAAAATCTTGGGGGTGTGGAAGAACTTGGGTAGCAAATCAAAGTTTTGACTTGAGGTTGTGCTCGTGAAGGTCGTCTAATCCATGCCAAGTGTTTGTTTGAATTGGACGCTGTTGCAGCTGAAGCAAGACCATCATGAATAGATATTAGGTGTGTCTCTTTTTTCAAATTCAACCAAGCAAATAGAGGTGTAAAAGAACAGGGCACTTTATCGCTACCATTGTAGTCCCTGAACTGTTAAATCATTTTGCACAAAATACAGACACAGATACTAAAAATATTGTAAGTGTTTCTCTGAACACGAGGGCTAAAAAAATCCCTCGAATATCTAAAAAAACAAACCACATCTAAAATGGTCAAAACAGCACCCCCTCGTTCTTATGCTATCCGCTCCCAAATTTGAGAAGGGTCAATAAGAAGTCATTGTGAAGGAGAGGCAAGCATTTTTGTAGCACAGACGCAGCTTGGATGCCGCAGACACATGTTAATATGGAATGAAAAGGGGACCACACAGACAGAAAGAATCAATGGCAGACATGTACAGGAGAGTCCAGTAAGTAGACAGATTAGCCCTTTATTATTCAGCAGAGAGAGTTTGGTTAGCAATGCTTCCAAGAGGTGAGGCTTATGACGTGTTTTAAGTGTAGATTAAAGGGTCAGCTCGAGGTCACTGCCAAATGTGAGAGAACTATCAAAAATACCAAGGAGGCTGACAAAGACACACACCAACAACACAAACTGCTGTTTTCAGATTTGATTGATTGTTTTAGATGATTTTTCATTGAGCATTCGTCAGCAGTCTGCTCCTGTGTGTAAAAACGGTATCAAAAACAACAAAAGAAAACAAAAAAAATGAAAACATGCAATGGTTTTGTTCAACAAGCTTGTTCTATGAATTATCCTCTAAAATAAAAAAAAAAGCAGGTACAGTGACACAGTTGCGAATAATTATGTGACAATGTTTAGGAAAACGCTCTCACCTTGAAACTCCTCTGGTCTTGGGGCAGCGGGAAGGGGTCTCTGGGACCTGGGTTGACTCGATGGGAGAACCATCTTGACGGAGCCCACATACTTAACGTACGTCCCTGGAAAGTCTCCTCTCTGTTTGGTGCGCTCATTGTACCCGAGGAGCCAGCCGAGGCCTTCGGGCTGCTCCTCACAGCCCTCCACATAGTTCTCAATGGACAACAGAGATGCCTTGCTGACTGTAAGAAGGTCCCCAGGCTGCAGATCCAAGTCCTCCTCCTGGTCCTTCATAAATGCATAGAGGGCAAGGTACTGAAAACCATCGACCGCCATTTTGTCAGGAAGGCAAGAATCAAAATGGCCACTGAATAGAGGATTAAGTAGTGCAGCCTGTGTCCCACTGCGACAACAGGGTTTAGCTAAACAGAAATCCTCCGCAAAAACCAAAGAGGCTGTAGAGTCACTAAACTCTTGTGGTGGACAGGGGGAAGGTGTGGGGAGGACAGAGAGTCACCCGAAGCTTAGAAGCATATTAAAAAGTTGATAAAGTAGCGTTCTTCTTCGGGTTATGTCTGTGTCTGCAGCGGTTTCAGACCTGACCAGTGTTGATGGACTGGTGCACTTTCCGCAGCTTGATACCCCGGTTGAGCCAGATGATTGAGCAGAGGGAGAGTGTTGGCAACATGCTCCTTCAAGCAGTGGAAACCTTCTGGCTGGGTGCTAGTGGAGCAGCCTGGTAAATAATTTTTCGCCAGCCACGGGCCCTGCGTCGTCGGCTCCCCGCGGTTAAAAGAAGCGGTCTGATTGGACGACGTGGGGCAGAGTAGGATGGTCCTTAATCCTCTCCGGTTCTCTCAGACTACCACATCATCCAGACAGAGATCATGACCGACCTGCATGACATAAAGCCCCCTAAAAAAAAAAAAAACAAGGAAAGAGGGGAACATTTTTTTAAAATTTGGGTCAAAAATCAAATGTACCATCATGAAAAATAGAAAATAATGTCAATAACTTCTGCTTCCATACAAAAAAAAAAAACGTATAAATTAAGCACTAAACAGAGTACGTATGTAAAGCTTAAAGCGGTGCATTAAAATGGCGAACTGCAGCAGCTCCATGCATTTGTGCAATGTTCGGTTAGAACGGAGAGATCGGATGATGCTGCTGCGTCATGACCAACAGCAGACTAAGTCCCTGGACAGGAGCCTCCATTCCCTCCATTCTACATTCACACACTCACAGCCTTCAATGACGAATCACACTTTCCACAGGAGCAAGAAGTTTCACTCTGAAATAAATGTCCCCTTCCAACTTACACAACATCATGTGCGATTAGCAGGATCCGAAGAGACTCACGCGTAATGGCGAAGAAAACATTTTTTCGCGTATCGTGCATGCAAAGGAAAGTAGGACCTGCACCACGGCTGTAGGGCAACCAGAATGTTCTGAAACATGCAGAAACCTTTGCAACAGTTCCCCTCGGTAGGAGAGAAAAAAAGAAAAGAGAGCTCCGTGTTGCCTGAGAAATATTTTTGGCTTCATTCTGTCAAAATAGCAAAATCAGTACAAAGTCGACCACCAGATAAATTATCGAATGGATGATCAACTGAGTATCCAAAGCTTGGCACAATATGAGAAAAAAGCTAATGTTCCTTTGCATTATTTCACACTCCTTCCTGTCAACGGTTTTAAAGTACCAATCTATAGAGCAAAAAGGTAATCAGGGACTGATATCAAATATTCTCTCGTAGAGATGATTGAAAGGCCCAATAAAATGCAATGCACAAGTGGGCAGAAATCCTCGTATAACAGCAACATAACGGTTTGAAAAGGCTGGCTTAAACCACAGCAATTATATCCTTAAGAAACTCATTTTGGGGGGAAAAAATAATAATTTCAGGGGGTTAAAATAAAAGACATTTTAGATTATTATTTTAATATTCACCACCAAATATGGTGAAATTATACTTCTATGGTTGATTGATGTTTGAGCGGCGGAAAATAATAATGCTACAAAGTTCAAATTGAAAATCTTAACATCACTGAGAGATCAGACTGCGAGTGAGGAGGAGAGAGAGATTATGGTTTCCAGATTAAGAATGACATCGGTGGTTTGTGGACCAACCAAGGACGATGGTCCAGTTAAACTCTCATGACATGTTGAGGAGATGCCAGAGAGGAGATGAAGCAGGTGGAGAGGCAGGGTGAGAGGGACGCGAAGGTGGGTGGAAGTTGTGGTCCTGTATGTCAGAAAGTATTTGGGGCAATTTCCCGAAACATCCGAATCCAAATAACCAAAGGCCTGGTTTTTCGAGGCCCGATGTTGTGCAATCATTTCATAAACGTTCCTGAATGGACAATGATTTGAGTGATGCATTGCAGACGCTTAAATAAAACAAGGTGAGAGCTTTGTAAATAAACCCTAAAACCTCTTGTTTTGCATCTTTGAATGCCAAAGTGCATGCTTTTGAAACCTTAGTCTAGATTATCCCCTCTCCCCGCACGACATTCGTAAAGCGAACGCGCATTCAAACGTTCGTGAGTAAGAATATCTTCTTTATAAATAAAAAAGGAGTTATGGTGATAACAGGAAGCAGCAGAGTCCAACACTCACCCCACTTTTGGTTCAGAGAGAAGCCGGACAGGCTCAGCCAGACTCTCGGTCCAACATCCTTCGAGTCGAGAAGCAAGAGGTGCCAGGCTAGACACGTGGCACTGGCATACCCAACCACAGCCCGCAATCCTCACACCACCATAACCCCCCCCCCCCAACCCTAAAACCCCCCTCCCTCCTCTCTCCACCTGCTCTACCCCCCCTCTCCAACTCCAAACACACACAGTGTTGCCTCCAACTGACAACTCCCCCCATCTTCAACCAGCGAAAAAGTCCAGTCGTTTTTCCAGTTGCCGTGTTTTGTTTATAGTCAGAGCGCTGCAGCAGAAAAGAGGAAAAAAGTAGACGAAGTGAAAGATAAAGCAGTGTGAAGGGAGTCCTCGCATGCTGTAATCCTCTTTCATTATTCAGTTCCGGAGCGGAAAAAGTCATACGAGGTGAGAGAATAGTCATCTGTGTCTCAGTCCTGGTCTGATAGTGTTGTAGTAGCTCAGCAGCAGAAACAGCTGTCAGGCTCAGCGTCACTGGATCCATTTCCCTTTTTGAAAATGACTTTTTATTCAGTCAGAGAACAGAGCGACAGAAAGCAGTAAGAAACTAGAGTGAGACTGAGAGACGGAGCACTTTGCTATCAGCAGAGTCCACACGGCTGAGGGAGACCACAGGAAAATAATTAATGAATAGGCAGCAAGTAACTCGCTGTTGCTAGAGAGAGGGAAAGCTAATCCTGCACTCTGATTGGCTGCTGCTCGGGCCATGTGCTCAGCAGTCACCAGAGAAGCCAGGCAAATCAAGGAAATGTTCTAATATTAGAAAATGTATCTAGGCAGTGATCAAACATCTGACCCAAACAACTCCAGCGTGTCACACACACTTGACTTTTTTCATCTCTGCAGCTGGGATGATGGCTCGGTTTTTTGATGAAATTATGATTTAAAGCAAATGAAACTGCAGCAGGATGATGATGAAGAGCATAACATGGATAAACTGCAAGTTGCTCCTGATTGGAGGGTATTTCATGAGTCATGTTGGAGATGTGCAATGGGATGAGAGGGGGAGATTTATGTTTTCTTAGTTGACAGGGAGATAAATGTGATGGTTACATGAAGAAAAAGTTTTAAAAAAATCACTCTGGCATTCAAAAAACAGAAATCATGTGAAAAAGCAAGCTACAGACACATTTTCGATTATTCAGTGAAACAGTATCTGCTTCACAAATGTGCAATTAAAAAAGTGATCTAAAAATATGTCAATATAGATATTCATATTTCGTAATTCTTAGTTTAACTGTGGGGGAAAGTGAGACCTAGATTAAACTCAAAATGGCATCAAGACGGTCCTTTGCAGTCGTCAAATGAGTCGTGATGCGTTTAGTCAGCCAGTAGAGCTCTGACCTGTTCATTGTACACCAGCATGCATAATGTAAAATGGCAAATAAGCTATTCAGAGCATCACTAACACAGTTGACCGATACAAGAGCTCCTGACACCACAACCAAAATACCGTACATGTTTATGTATATTTCAAGAGAATGATTTTCAACCGTTGTTGTTGAAAAGAAAAAATAAGGTTTGGTCATTTGAAGTACCAAAAGGGGAACTTGAGACTGCTGAAATGTTGTGATCATTCGCTGCGCTTTCATGTTTTAGGTCAGTGCAAAATAGACATCAGTTTGAGATTAGATTGTTGGTTAAGCAAAATATCTGAGGATATTATTTGATTTTTAAATTTGACACTTTGCTCGATTTCTTGATGATTAAAGCCTCTAAGAGAATAACTGGTGGATCTTTAAACTGTTGCAGCATATTTAATGAACAGACTAGATTTGACTAGTATTTGGTAATATAGATAAAATCTTCTGTCACATAAAATATAACTTCATCATGTAATATTGATATGTTGGTGTAACATTTTATAGTACATTTTAACAAAAATGATGTACTACGCTTTGTCATATAGACTAACTCTACATAAACATCAAATAATACCTTGTGACATAAACTCTCAAAAGGCATCTGCCACATTTGTTTGAGTCAATGAACTTGTCAGTGGTCTCTAGTAAATAAACGATATTCTTAAGCAGTAATCCTGTCATCTGTGTTCATTTTGATTTATGTTGCCTTTAAGTAAAGCTCCCATAAAGTGAATCCAGGGTCTGTTATAAGCTTGTTGTGAGTAATATATATATATATATATATATATATATATATATATAAAATGCATTGCCTGTGTCAATACAGATACAACACTTCTTATTTCACATTTCATTCTGCCAACATCTTCAATTGAGATTCAATAACAGTGATATCTACGTGGATCAGTGTAAAATAAATATGCCAATAATCTTTCTACTGAATCTTCTTGAGTTTGACTGTAAACGGCCGTTCTCGTATAATTGAAAAAAAGAAGTGAACTGAACCAATGTGATTTTGACCATTGGATGGTAAGGAAACCTCTTTTAAATATACAATATGTAGCATTTTATGACAATGTTTAGATAAAAATATCTAAATTGATAAAAAAAATTGACTAAACCTTAAATATATTTTACCTCAAATATTTTCCAACAGGCGGCCATCATGATGAACCGCCATGACAGACAGAATGTTTATTGTTGCCGTGGAAACACCAGATGTTAGACCGCTACATTAGGAAGCCGGAACTGTTACTGAAAGCTGCTGTACTGTTGTTGTATGTGCTGCTTTGATAAAAACGTCATGTAAATTATCTTACATACATCATCATAACTTATTAATAAACATATTCTCTTCCTCAGGTCTGTTTCGCCTGTTTGTCTTCACGAGCTCAACGCGGAGTTCGTTTTTCACCCTATAATGACCAGCTTCACATCTGAAAGCAGAGTTTGCGTCCACCTCATATATACGGTCTGTACTTATATATACACATACAACTGTAGGTTTAGAGAGAACTGATGTGCTACAGATCTGGCATTGTGGTCTTATTATTTTTACACTGTTGAAAGGAAGAATGTGCAAAATTTTACACATTAATACATCAGAAATCAAGTATATCCTATGTAAATGTCTCTCTGAGTCATGACTGTCTACAATGATGGAGAAGCGTGATGGCAGCGAGTCTTGCCAGCTGTACTGTTGTCGGAGCCGTGTTTACATCATGTTTACGTCATGGACAGGACGGCCTATAAAGCTGTTTTAGTCAAGGACACGTCAATCGATGTGCAATATGAAGCTACGTGTTAACCGAAGTGTGCTAACATTAGCCTGCTAACACAACAATGCAGGCCAAAGGCAATTGCTTGAGCAAAGGCACAATGTTGTGTCTTAGGGCGCGGTCACACTGGCAATCTGTACCATGCCTAAGCACACTTCACCACTACAGCTCGTTTGACCAGTGTGACCGCTACATACCCTGCTCAAGCACGGTACACTTCGTTGGCCCTGGCACGCTTCGGAGAGGTGTGCTTTGGCACGGTACGGTTCATGCACAAGCACGAGCACGTGGGTAAACGACGTTAACAGCCTTTATTATGAAGATATCTGGACTGTTATGGCTGTATTTGACTAAAATGACTCAAAGTAAAGACACAAAGTAGCTGTCATGTTCTCCGATGTCTGGACGCAGACTCAACCGCGCGTCTCTTTTATCTTTTTCATTTATTTATCGCTGTATCTGTACAGGACAACATTGCCAGTGTGACCGCGCTCTTAAAGACAGTTTATAGATTTCACTCTCAGATTATAAATTCCAACTCAGTGGTTAAAAAACGTATTTTGTATTTATTTTGCTATCAGCAGAAACCCAGGTGTTGTGTAAAACATGAAGGACAGTAAGAGAGTAAAACCGAATCTAACAATATCAAAACGTTTATTGCACATTATATTTCTCTCATACTATGCTGCTGGCCTAATTCCATGCATCAACAATGCTGCACTTTTCTCTTGTTCTTAAATGTTAGCAACTGTGACAGATAAATGCACTGCCCAATATTTATACATTTAGGTGGACACACAGTTATTGCTTTAAAGTCTGTGTATGTGTTGGCCCTCTGCTGCCCTGCGGGTGAGGAGCTGACTACAGAGACACCACGCATGCAGCCTGGCCTCAGGCCATCTGTCCACATGGAACTGAAAAATCTACTGCGCCACAGGGAGGACAGGCAAACTACAAGGCAGCTTGTGACGACTTATTTTTCATCCTAAAATGGGAGCTCTGGCACTTTATGATTTGAGTAATGTTCACCTGAACTCTATCTGTCCTTAATGAGGCTGAAAAGCTCACTTCACTAAATAGAAACATCTGCTGGGAAGATTATGTAGCACTGAGACGGTACTTTTCAGAAAGTCGAGTACACCACAAGGCTCTGCAGTTAGAGAGAACCTACTGTAATAATCAGGAGTTACAAAACAGTGGCAACTTGAAAGTTAAGTTGGTGTAAAATGCAATCTTAAGTGGCTACGTTGACAAATATGAACATTTTCAGTTCAGCGAAGGAAGGAAATCTGTGAAATATGAAAAGTTGGCACCGTCACAAGCTCTTTTAACTGCGTAGTTAGCGTGTAGTGAGGGTAAGTAAGACTCATCCTTATTTCTTTAACCTATCTAAAAACAGTCTGTTAGTTATCCAAACAAATTGCGTATTTTCCCCACACAATCAACCTATTAATAACACAGCATTGGCAAAGCTCATCAAGTTCATATAACTGAGTTGAAAAGAGAAACCAGTTTTTCTAGATTAGTGATGAAGTAAAATATGTAAGTGCCACTTTTATCAAATCAAACATCATTAATGTGTGCATTTGACAGGTTTTCAATCTGTTACTTCAAAAATACTAATGATCTAAATATTATTGCAGGATGTGTAGAGGTAAAACAGTGGTTACCTATCAGCGTTCATATTAGCAATCGATCACATACAAGACAAAGGTTTCCAACAATTGGATTCCTTTATATATATATATATATATTTCAAACTATCACATGCTTTTCTTGGGAAAGTATCCAAGCTCAGACCCTTCAGGGTTTTAACGGAGCAACACTAAACTGTCCTTAAAGCTGTACTTTGTTGCTATTTTGATCAAATACCAACATTCATGTTTAACTATATCCTCAAGCTATAAGGACGTATTAAAAAAATAACCACCACTGTGCTGCTGTTTAGTTGCTGCGTGTTGTTTAGTTGATTAAGCCCCACTGACATATGACTCTTAGATGTAAGATCCACTGTTAGTGGAAGTTTAAATTCAAAAGAGCCATGCGAGTCATTCTGAACACTTTTAAAGACATTGAGAAGAGTGGGAAAGTCTTTACCACAAGTCATGCGTTATATTGATAAAGCAATGTAATGAAGGAGTGACATTTGGTTGCATAATGCTCGATTCAGCAATTACAAAGGGGGAGGGTGGTGGTGGGGGGCTTCACACAGTCGAGTGGCTTGTTTTATCATGCAAGTGGCCAAATTTTCATTAACTCCTTAAATCCTCAAAACCAGATATGAGATGGTATACACACAAACACACATCATGTCAGGCCTTCAGCTATATGAGGCCTCCACACTGCATGGCCTCCTGTGGTCTGCAGTCAATGTAAAGGCACTATTATAGTATAACATACACTGCCAATGTGAAACTCATGGAGCACACTGCACAGTGAGCTGTGTTCAACTCAGGCAGTACAATTTGTCAACATTTTTATCATGAAAAACATTTTGGATTTGAGCATTACATCCTTAAACATGTAGGTTTAAATTCGGTATAAATCCACAACTTTAACTCTAATTTATAAGATAGTTTAAAAGTCCTCTTTACCATAATCTCTAGGCATATCAAGCCTAAACAAAACACACACAACATAACATCAGTATTATTATTATTATAACGTTAGAAGTTAAAATCCACATTAATGTTTCACTAACGTAACGGGCTCTGCGTTACACGTCAACTGGTGAGTAGCGCGAGCAACGTGCTGCAAAACTACAAAAGTTGCATTTTAGCGCAAGTTGTAAAGTTTAAATAAATAAAACCAACAGGACCACTGAAGGTAAAACTTATTGAAGTAGATTAAAAGTCAACAGCGTGAAGTTGCGTGCGCTGAGCACACTTGCAGCCTCCATTTTCCAGTACAGTGTTTGCTGTACTGGAAATGTGCAATAACTTGGAAAAACTCACCCGCGGATATTTCTTGACTCTCCTCACTTTTTGTCTGCGGCGCTTTAACACTTCAAAGTGGACGACAAAGTCCGCGTGGTGTCTTTTCTGAGGACGCAAGCTTCGCCAAGTGCATTAAACTTCAAGCAAACCCTTTGCTCGTTAATTGCTTCGCCTTCTTTCTCTCGCTCTTTCTTTCTTTTCCCGTTCATGACTCCCTGCTCCCCTACACAGCCATTTTCCAGCTCAGCACGGCGCAGGGAAGGGAGAGTGCGTGGGAACTAATATGAAGAGCGCGGAAAGGGACGAAGCCGAGCGGAAAAGCCCGAGCGATTAGTGAGGGGTCACCGAATGGCCTCGGCTTACAAATTACATTTTGAGGCTGACAATTTTGAGCCTTTTGAGACTGTACATTTCTCCTCCTTTGAAATAAAACTATTGTTTGTTTAAATAAAATGCGTTTTTATTTCATATCGAAAGGACATCGTATTTTATTAGCTTACCATTAATATCTTGTCTCCCAAAGATTGAATAGGCCTACGTATTAAACTCATTTACTTCTTCAGACATTTCTAGCTCTGTGAGTGGTTAAGGTTTAAAACAGCTAAGCCTTGAAGGGGTAAAAAAAATATCTGATTACTTAAACCATAGAAAAAAAATAAAGGAACATTCATTTTAAAGGACAGACTTGGTCTACCATAAAAGTTGTAATAAAAAAAAACATGAATCATGTATGGTGTATATACAATACCTATCTTTACACCGAATCTACATCTATTTTTTTGCATATCAGACTTGTCAAGATAGTAAGTTAAATGTGTGGACAGAGCACATGGACCTACCTTTGGACCCTGGATTTTTAAATTGTGTTGTTTAATGGACAAATTACAAGCACACATGATTTGTATTTCTGGACATTGTAGTCCCTTTGCAATTTATTCAAGCACTGTTAAGACAATAAAAAAACAGACAGTCACACCAATCTGCATCAGATACCCACATGGTAAGAGTTTCACAAAGGCCAGCTTGTCATCAGGGGAGCAAAATATTTTTTACAAACACACATACACACACACTAAAACAAGTGACATTTGAGCACCTGTGTTAAGAGTGAAGACATGGATTTCATCACACAAAGACACACATTTACACAATGGGGAAAAAAAAGAAATTAAGAAATTGTGGTGATTTATTTTAAAGAATGATGCCAATCTACACTTATCAAAGTCTCAATTTTATAATATTAATAACATGATGGGTTTGGTGGGGGTATAACGATCAGATCCTTAGAACAGACAAGGATGGATATTACATCAGAAATTCAGTGATGATACACAGACACACAGTTCTTCCACCACACGGTACACCAATACAAACTTCTAACCTCTAAATTGAACCCCCACAATCCATAACCACATTTTAAGGCTAAGGTTGTGATAAACTTCCTTTTTAAAGTTTCAACATAAACAGCTCCCAGGACATTTCAAATCACAAATGTTCAAAATTAAATGTGGAAAGAAAAAAAATTATTTTCATTAAAAAAAAATGTAAATAAAATGAGAGAAACAAGCTTTTTTTCAACTGCTAATCCAAACAGTTTCTAATAGAAAACAAATGACACCAGTTATAAATGGAAAGATGTGGAAAATAAAGAAAACATATCTGAAAACCAAATTACAGATGTTTACTTCTCATTTTAAATTCAAATTATTGACTGAACATCAGATTTTAGAATTCAACGCCTTAAAAAAAAAAGCTACAAAATGGTGTGTTGTAAAGTAATCATGGGAATATTATAGAGGGATGTGAAGCACGCACAATGCTTTGAGGCCCAGGCTGCCACATTACAGTGAGAGTATACAATTTACGAGTCCATCTACTCTCACAAGGTCACTTTAAAAGAAATCACCACTCACGGCTGTTGTAAGGTCCACCATTGTTTATACGATATACATCAACAGCATTGGCTATTATTAGTACTGCAACACGACTTTTCCATATCAAAATGTACAAAAAGAAATCCCCTCGACTCATTCCTTCATCCATTCAGGGCCTCTGGTTTTACTCCCCTGTCATTCACTTTTCTTCATAATTTAACACAACCATGGAGCCCACTCACAGATTTGCTCTAAAATGTAAACATTCATTCAAAATACCCATTAAAAAAAAACAGCCAAGGGAGCCAGTTTTGTTGGTTGCATCTGTACAATTTTTTGAATCCCGCGGAGAAGGAGATCGTCCTGAAATATAAATGTGCTCTAACTGTTACACGGCTACGATAACTTGTGCAAATACATCAGCTAAACACTAGATTAGTTAGGAGCTGGACGGAGGCATAATTGAACAAGATATTAGAGGACAGAGAGAACAGTGTGGTTTCTGAAGGTAGACACAAAACTTTTTCTACACACTTGAACACTAATCAAGTAAGGAGTTAATCCAGACACATTTTTTTAGAAGACAGACGGCAAGTGGAAGTTGAGCCCATGCATGCATGAAGTTTCTTATGTACAACTACAGTACCTCTTTTTTTTATGGTTAAACCATGCTTTGGCACCACAGCTAGGCTCACAAGTGTTGAGATGTTGATATTTGTGTCTTTACAAAATGTTTATACAAGGCCTGTGCTCAGGTCAGGATCGATGAGTCCAAATGCTCACAACTCACAATCTATAAGATACATTTCTTCTGAGAGGCAGCACATGAGATCATCTGCAATTGCATCATTCATAATATGTTGCAGGACAAACACTGTTGAGTTTGTTCAAAAGACCAAATCTGAACACGAAACAACACCCACTTCTACACGGGCATTGAGGTATAAAAAATATCGATGGAAAAAGTTATCGACTGGTGTTACCTGCCCTCTTTCTGCAGCTACACCTGTAAAACAAACCACACTGTAACTGCTTGGCTTTCTTTGTATGTGTGCAGTTCTTGCAATAACAGCTGAAGCATCCAAGGCTTTTTGAGCGACCCAAAAAAAACAAGATGAGCATAAAAAGTCATAAATACGTTTCTTCATTTAAAACCAAAGATATTTACAAAATACATCAGTTACAGGTGCCACAGTGATTTGAGAACCAAAAGAGAAAACAAGCGCCCAGGAAGTAAACATCATTTGGAAGTCATTGTTCTGTTAACAGTGTTGCAGAATGCATATATTACTGAGAAACAACACTGTGAATTTGCTTTCCTGTCCTAAAGAAGTTTGCTTGTGATGATTTGGGACTTGGTCACATTTTTCTGGACACACATGCAAGGCCTTCAAATGTCAGAACAGTGTCAGGTCAAAGACTTCTTCACAAAGTCAGTCTCCTAAGTGAGACTCTTTGTTGACCTTTTCTCCCTGAAAGAGTGACTAAACTAAAGCCGTTCTTTGTCTTTTGACTTGGCATTCAACTGTGTTGTTGTACCCTGTGCTCCTCTTCCTTCCAGCTTCGTGTTTGACTCTGACTGGGTCGAGTTGAGCCAAGACGCCTTGAACACCTTCGATTGTGTGACAGGAAGCGTTGGACTCGGTGTCACTTCTCTCTCCTCCAAATCATCGAAGCTCACTTCCTGCACCGCCTCTTGTTTCTTGAAGGAGTCCCGTCGCTCGGACAGAGCAAGCTTCCTCATCACCACCACCTCTTTGGAGTGGTGATTACTGCCGCGGTGTTGTGGCGAGGCGGTAGAGCGGTGGTGCTCGCTGCCTCCGCCGGCAGAATCATGGTGGCCCCTCTGCCCTCCAATGTACAGCCCATGGCGGCCATGCTCACCAACACAGACAAACCCCGTGGCGGTGTCCCCTTCCATGTCCTCTAGCCCCTCCCCCTCCGACAGAGGCACCTCCATGGTATGGCGGCGGGTGCTGTAGGCCTTCCTGTCTCCATGGTAACCCCCTGTCATTTTGTCTCCTGTCAGTTTCTCTGCCGACTGGACCCTCTTGAGGAGCGGTGACCGTGGCGGTTCGGCACTTCGGGGACGCACAGAGTGGCGTGCAATTGTGGGAGGGGACAAAGTCTTGCCATGGAAACCCTGCAGGGATTTGGTGTGACTTGGGAGGCAGGATGGGGAGCACTGAGGAGAGAGGGGCTGAGGAGGTGGGATGCAGGCAAGTGGAGAAGGAGGGATGCTGCTGGTTGACTTGCAGCGGCCAGCTTTGGTGTAGCGACCCAAAACATGAAGGGAACTGGGACGGGCCTGTGGAACGGGTGAGTTAGGAGAGCTGGAGCAAGGAGAAGAACTGGAATCTGACGGGAAGAGAAAAATGAAAAGCTCAGCATTATCTGGCATTTTTCCCAAGGGAAGATGTCAAATCAAAGAAGAGAAAGAGACAGAAAGCCCCCTGTTCAGGATGCAAGTGGTACGTGACACCTTAACTCACCTCCAGAGTGGTCAGGAGCAGGGGAGCGACAGGGTGTAGAGGGTCCCGGGGAGAGGCTCTGTGTTGGAGAGCCGGAAAGGCTGTCGCTTGATGACTGGTGGAAACCTGAAGAGAAGCTACGACTGCTCTGCATGGGCGGAGGAGGTGTATGCTTAGATAACTTCTTCAAGATGCTACGTCGTCGGCTGCACAAGACAAAAGGGGTGTCAAACATGCATTATTAAAAATTGTTGTTTGATTTAACCATTTCCATGCTTATCCAAAAACATCTCAGTTAAATTGAAAAAAGCACTGGAGGTAAAAAAACAAACAAAAAAAACAACAACCAATGAACACAACAAGACAAAAGTCCCAGGAACTAAGATTCAATTTAAATTCATATTTGAGTTTGTGGAGTTTCAGTATTCAATACTAGGCTTCAGAAAGTAATGATGAAGTATTGTAAGGATGACTTCATCCTTCCCTCTTGTACCTGTCCTGTCCGTCCTTCCTCTTGCTCTTCTTGCTGCGCCGGGCCATCTTGGACTTGTAGCTCACTTTTCTGGCAGGGCCAACCTTGATAGATGTGTTCTCCAGTGCAGTCGTCTGCAGGGTCACCCTGTTGCCACTCTGTTTAACACAAAGCGTTTACATTTTCACACAAGAATATAGATGTCAGTCTCTTTATAGGAAGAGCCAGAAAGTGATATGTTATCATCTACAGGAAGGGAAAAAAACCCTCATCTGTACATTAGTATGTTTCTTTTCTTGGAACACATCATTATAATTTGGCAATAAAAACAATTTGTGTTTAAGTTAATATTATTGAAAGATATTTCTCCAAGTTGTACCTTAAGCAAGAGCTCCACCACCTCAGTGTGCACGAGTCCCTGGACCGACTCCCCATTGACAT